CTCAAAGACAGATGATATTTCCATATCGTAAAAAAGGACAGTTTTGCATAAATATGTGAATGGTGCTCCAAGAACACACTTACAGTTTGTTCTTTGCCTGGGTGATGGAAGGCACAGGATGGACTTTGTGCTGGTAGCCATCACAGTTGAGGAGAGAGCAGAATCTGGAACAGAACCAAACCAAACCAAAAAAAAAGCCTGATGTAGAAAAGAATGCTGTAGGAGTCATTTAGCTCCTCTGCACACACTGTAACTGTAAGCCAGTTTCAAGAACATTTATGTAATAACAGCCTTTCTAGCACACAACTGTTATGTGCAGCTCTGCACTGGCACAGCATTGCTATGGAACGGGCACGACTCACTACAAAGGGTGTCAAGGACAGCACTATAGACATGGTTCCCAAAATTCTCTCCTGTACTCAGAAGCTTCCAAAGACATTCCAGGTTATACGATACCAGGATAGACTGGTGCAATCTTAAATTGAAACTGGATTGTGTTCTCTATGCCAGAAGTGGATTTATGAGATGGTACCAAGAAGCATCACAGTCTGGTTCAGTGGAACATTTTCTGATCCTTCATGTGAGTCTCTCTGTCCAAATTATGCCTTATAACCCTTACAGCTTATGGAACAACATCCCCAACAACACGAGCTGAAGAAAACATTGGTAAACAGGAAGCATTGGTGTGAAAAAGAACAGAGGAGGGGTAGGTGAAAGAGAAGTCAGCCAAACTTCTAAGAAGGGAGAACAGAGGCTGCACATTCCCAAACAAATTCTGGAATAAGACTTTGTTCAGTGAAGATGGTGGTAAAAAGGTTGATTGTGCACTACTGGGACATCGGGTACCTGAAGGAACATAGACAGAAAGGGGTGCAGGCCAAACCTGTGTTCTTGCCAGTGTTTAAGAAAACCCAACTCAGAACCATTTGCCACATACGGCAATCATACACAGTCCGTTGACTTGCTGCTGGGAAGGAACTCTTCAGATTTAATTGTTCTGATACCTTCACAGTGAGGAACATTTTTTCTTTACCAGATTTCTTCCAGGAACTGGTGTTCTAGAACCTAACTTGGGAGTTAAGCTGGGGCACTGGACATCAAAGTGTGCTTCCCCAGCTCTGTACCTCTCACATGAGACCATAAGCAAATCACCCCGCTTCCATTTCCATCTCTAACAATGGGGAAAATAATTTCTTCCACTGTTCGTTCTTAGTTCACTTTGCTTAGTTCAGTAATCCAGCAGATAGGAAATATGTCACACGGAGTAATCATAACATGCTTAACATAGTAGAATCCTGATTTTGTAGGACTTATCTTATATACCTACACGCCCTGATACTACAATCATCATCAGCACCAGAGATGGTCATCATAGCTAAGCGATGAGTACGTCCGTAAGGACACACAGGTACGTGCACACCAACCTTGGCCAAGGTCAGTGCTTTCTGATTTCTCAGTTAAAACAGCTGCTTTTACTAAATAAGAAGTGCTAACGGAACGAATTCTGTTGCCTGAAAAATACAGCTTTGCAACCGCTCAGTCAGCGCAGACACACCTGCGCGCCGCTCTCAGAATCGCCGCCTTCGCCTGCTGGCTGGAAGCTGATCACTGGCACTCGCAGTGATCCTATTCCAGGCTGTGCTGACACTGCCCTCCACATTTTAGCACTTGGGTTACTTTACTCGGTTGTCTGGCTGCATGTGCAGACTAATGCTCTCATTCTATGCGTAAGGAAACTGAATCACAGACACTGAAAAAAAGTAAACTTGTTGAGCCAACTTAACAAGTTTGCCCATATTTTTACGCTGCGAATGTTCCCTACAATGATAAGTCTCAATTACATTCATCTATTCCTCAGAGTTCAAAACAACTTAAAACTGCCACTGAGTGCACGCAGCCTTGGTAGAGGATATTTGAAAAGCAAATGCTTCTCCCACCCTCACACAGCTCCAGTTCACATAAAGTAAGAATTCATGAGTAAGAAAGTAGGCATCACCTGTGACATAGAGCTTACACCAGTCACCAGGTGCTTCAGAAAGAAGGAACACCAGAAAGTGTGGATATAACACTTGCAGTACTTAAATATCATTTAAAAATGCAGAGGGAATGCGAAGTCTCATACATAAGCTTCAAATGCTTGTAGCGTTTTTTCTTAGCTGTACAGCATGGCAACTAACTTGCAACCCAATCCCTTTAATAAAATGTTTCCTTTCATGAGATTTTTTTGCCCGGTTTCATGCAATGTTCTCCTCCAAACTTTGATCACAATTCACATGAAGCAGCACTCCTGACTTGCATCCCTTACTTCATTTCTTCATACAGCATCACACTGTGTCTTCGTCTGCCTTCTGACAGCAGCTGCAGCCTGAGCATGTCAGTCTCACGTGATTCTTAGCAGTGATTTTGAGATTACTGCCCTTCCCCCAGAGAACAATGTTTTTCTAACTCAAAGATGACACGTGGGGTAGCATATATAATGACAGAGGAGTGGAAAAGGCACTCACAGACACGATCACCACCGATAGCCTCAAAGATTCTGCAGAAATCAGCTTCTGTGCTCTCTACAGAAAGAGCAGCTGTGGAATCCCTGATAGCACGCTGTTGACCTCTCTCCTGTTGTAGTAGAGCATTTCCCAGGGCTGCAGAATACCAACAGGATGGCTCTGTTTCCATTCAAACTGTTTATGTACAATTTCTGCACGTGCCACCTCCCCTCAACGTTAATGGTTTGTTGGTTTGTTTGCTTTTCATGGCAGCTGGGTAACGCACACGTGATACTTAGAGAAGAATTAGCCAGCTTAGATGAAAAATCCTCATCAGCTGCACTAACCCAGCAGCAGCACATGGCACCCCGTCTCCTGAAGGGCAAACATACCAGACAATCCACGTTGCTCCCTTGGATACTGTTCTCACTGTCATATCCGATGGCATGCTGGATGGGACACTGTTCAACTGGAAGTTTCACTAAACTGCTGTTGAGAGCTATTAGAACACTGTAATAGGTGTGACTTACTGACCGGAAGAGTCAGTAAACAAATAATGTACAAGTGACAATACAAAAATAGTGCAACAGCAATTAGCGGTGTGACTCCATGAGTAATGAGGAAATTGCTTTGACCCACTTGATGGCGGTAGCGACAAAATCTCAAAAATAAATCAATTCTATCCTAAACTTACGGATTTTCTGTTGTGACATCAGCAACACCTTTTCCAGGTCACCAACAACAGCGATGTTTGCCACAGGCCGTTCTCTCTCTGACACACGAGCCCACGGGAAGCAGAGCAGGAGCTGCGCTGCACGGCGCCGGCAGCACCGCAGGTTTGGACGCACGGCAGCACGCGGCCACCGCGTCCCGTCCATCAGGAGCGGCCGCGCAGGCAGCTGCCAGCAAAGCACAGCGCAGCACCCCGGGCCACCACCCGCCATCCCTCCGTGCAGCACAGCTCTCAGCCGGGCACCGCGCCTCCTTCTGCTCTGCAAGGTTCGCACCGCGACCGCGTCTACTTCAGGCACGGTGCGCAGCTTTGCCTGGGCTGCCATAGACGTGCTGGCGTTCTGCGTGCAGCTGCGCGAAGGCACACCGACATCGGTGCCTCCCCACCGGCCCCCTCTGTGCCAACACAAGCATCCAGAGCGCGAACCGGCGGCAGCGCCACAAAACCAAACCCGATCAGTCTGTGCATGCTTCCTGTCCTCTGGAATCAGACCACGTATGATTTCTACTTCTGATGGAAGAGGAACGATATCTAAAACAGAAGTGAGATTATTTTAAGGCAAAAGAATAATTCTTCAGTATGCACATGCAAAAATATTCTATTTCTTTGGTGAAAATACTGTTCACTACAAAACCAAACAAATAAACAACCTTCAGGCTGCTTTCCAATTGTAAGATGACTGAGAACGAGTCCTCGTTTATCCCATTGAAAGAAAGAAACTACTGTCTTTCTTTCTAACTTTGAGTTTATCCCCAGTGGTGTTCCTATCCCAAAGGGTGCCAGTGCCGCAGGAGAGAAAGTCAACACCAAAACGAAGGCCCAGCATAGCGAGGGCTGGGACTACAGGGAGCATCGGCATGGAACGCAGCAGTTTCCACACAGTTATCAAAGGTGTGATGAAAAAAATCACAGCACAACAGTGAAGAGAAGTTGTATAGAAGTGGCACTGTGCACTGAGAGGGGCAACGAATGGTGGGAAAGTAGCATCCTGCTGTTTCAATATAACTGCAGAGTTAGAAGGGGAAAAAGGGAAAAAAGACCAAAAGATGACATGACTGGGAAAAAACAAAACAAAAAAAAACAAAAACGCCCCACGGCAGAGCATCCCTCCAGGATAAGGCTGCGTGGACGGGAGGCTTCACGCTCCTCTCCCCGCAGCCCCGCTCCGCCAGCGCTGATCAACCGCCCCGGCGCCGCAGCTCCGGAGCGGAGCGATCGGGAGCGTTACCGCCGGCGGAGCTCCCGGGCCGCAGCCCCTCCCTTCTGGCGGGACGGACAGAGCGCGGTCCGCGGCCCCGGCTGCGGGGACCCGACCGGGGCAGGAGCAGCAGCCCTTTATAGCCGGCTCACACCTACACGCCGCTGCCAGAGCGCTGCAGCGCTGCCCGGAGCCGCGTCCCCGCCCGCCGCACCGCACATGGAGCCCCGCCGCCCGGCCCCGCTGCCGTTGGTGCTGCTGCTGCTGCTCGCCGCCGGTGAGTGCCGCTTCCCGGGAGCTGAGGCGGGGGTTGGGGCGGAGCGGGCAGCCCTCGGAGAGACGCGGCGAGGCGCATCTTCCCTCCCGAGAAGCGGCCGGCCCGCTGCGGCCAGGAGAGCCGCCTGTCCGCTGCCGAGCGGCACGGAGCTGCCGCGCTGGAGGTCCTTTGACTCGTCCTCCCTTTACTCTTAAATCTCATGTTTCAAGTTCAGGATCTCCAGACTGCAGCCCGCACGTAGGGCAGCCGGCTGCTCGCCCGCCGAGGCGCCGTGCCGGGACACATCGTAGGCGCTGCTCGCGGCGGCACGGCGCGGCGGCTCCCGCAGAGCGAGGCGGGCGCAGTGAATAAGGTACGGGTGGGTCCGTAATTACAGGACCCCCACCTCCTGCCTTACCCTCACAGACAACGCACTTGGCAAATATTTAATTTTTTGGATCCTGCTTATTAAATAGGCGTCCCGTAATAGAGAGCAGTTGTAATAGTTTACAGTTCATTTCCTCGTAGATTTTCTGAGGTACTCATCAATGCAGAACCTGACTGGACGTATTTCTTCCATGCTCCTGTGGAGCTATACCCTCCTTTCTAAGCAGCTAGTGCACAGAAAAGTATCCGCTAATTTTAGGTTCCTGCGGTGTCGTGAAAGAACCCCACAGTATTTAGCACTGCCACACGACAGAGCGCGGCACAGCACGGCACAGCCCGGCTCTCACTGCGCCCGCTCGGCCCCCAGCCCAGGAGCACCGGGCGCAGGCATGGAGCGCAGGCAGAGCGTGCGGCTCAACAGACTGCTGCTGCACCGCTAGGATAAAAGCCACTTTTCCAGAAGAGCACTCAGCTGCCTAAAGTAAGAGATTCTCCTTTGTCTTCCTGCACTTCTTCACACATCCCACTCATTCCTGAAGCAGGTCCTCTGTACAAGCTGAGCAGGGGCTGGGGGGAGGAAAGAAGGGCAATCACAGGATTAAAGACCGAGGGAAGGCGCTCACATGATGGGGCCAGCAGAAGGTCCCACTGGACTCACTGCCCCAATTCCACTTCCTGACCTCAGCGTGCCCCTGTTATTCCTTCTGCACTTTGTTCCTCCTCCAAGCCTTCATCCTTGCTTGGCCCAAACCTCAGCAAGAACATCAAGGGAAGCGATGAAAGACTGTTTCACTGCTTGTGGCAGCCTGGAGTGATCATTACAGAGAGGGCCTGCCTTCAGCCTGATGGCTCTGAGTCAGGCTTTGCACTCACCCGTTCCGTAGGCAGGGAGCAGGGAGGGAAAGGTAATTTACCTCTTTCTCAATGCTTGTGCTGCACTATCAGGCAAATGTATCTGTCCAAAGAAGTTTGCTATTTCTATAAGCTGTAGTTGTGTATGGCAGTAGTCTGGGCAAAGAGAGGAGGTGAGAAAGGCCGTTCCTGAGGGCTTGTGAAACCAGTGGACAAATCTAAGCCAGAAAAAGAAAAAAGTGGTAACGCATACAGTTTGAGGGCATCCACTCCTGGCAGGACCTGGGAGATGCATCAGAAAAACTGCTCACTCCTAGTTCTCAACCTCCGAACTACTGGAACACTATGACCTTACAAGGAAACATCACTATAGGTAATCCTAAATATACTTGACATCAAAAATGTTTCTGTGGCCTCCGCCTTTGATAGCATGGCTTAGAATTTCTTATAAAATCCACATGGACTATACAGGATGCCAATGATTAATGCAGCTGTGTATCACAGTTCACTAAAGCTCTGTATCTCAATAAAAATACAGTATCGAAAAACTTTGCGACCCTTGCAAAGGGAAAATGGTATAGGAAGTACGGCACAACACAAAAAACTCATGCTTCTTAAGTGCCTTTTTCCCCCTACAAGCAAACAGAAATTTAAGGGACTGCTGTTTGTTTGTTTGTTTTAAATATTATTGCAAGGTAGGCAGCCAGAAAGCCAGGAAAAATTATATAGGAAGGTGTGGCAGAAAATATCTTGCAAAGACATGATAATCATGACACAATGCACAGCACAATCCAAGCTCTCAAGAGCCTGCATAGGCAGCAATCCAGAAGCTTAAACTCCAATGGCAGGACTCCAGTGTGGGCAACAAAATTACAGATTTGAAATCAAGCGCAACACAACCGTAACGGATTACCTGGTGCTACTTTCTCTCAGCCTGTTCTCTCTCTACTTTCTCTCAGTCTGTCTTCACTTCTTACTTAATTTCACTCTTCAGAAAGCCATGCATAGCCTCTAATCTCCGTGACTTAGTTATTAAATTCACAAGGACAACTACAGAGTTTGTCAAACAGCAGTGGGGACAGAAGCAGTGCCTAGAGCCATGCTGGGATTGGTATGGATTTGTTTTCCCTTTGACCTCCACTTGTAAAGCGGCTGCCTGGCACCCATTTACGTGGACAGACCTCGTCAGGGCTTTGGGGCTGGTCTGGCTTTCACCCTCCCCTCCAAAAACCCTTCTCTAAAGCTTTCTCTCATCAGCTGAAATTTTAGCAAAGGCAGTCACAATTCCAGATACGTGATGATCACAGGAATTAAATATTGCAAGCTTTTTGAAAGCTCTAACTGTCTAGACTCAAACTGTCTCGCTGTAGAGTATCTTTGTACACTTGCTTGTATTTATTTCCTGTGACCTCTTGATATCACAGCAATGCATTTGTAATTTCTCATACACATCATTAAGCCAACAAATTAAACCCAGTCTGGTTCCCTCCCTTTTTCCTCAGCCACAGTATTGTCTCCAATGCAGCCACACACGATTTGCATGACAAACAAGAAAACTCACAGACAATGAAGATCCATTCCACGCTTAAAAACAGGAGTTACCCCCAAATGGCCTAGTAAAAGCATGGCTGCTTTTTCAGGAATGCACAATGGAACCCTCGGGGATATTCCCATCCCGACAAGAAATGAGCAACCGCTGTAACAACAGATGTCACAGAACAACTTAAAAATGCATCTTAATCATAAACTATGTGGAACTGCACAAGTATGTCACTCCACTTTTCAATTTTTGGATTTTATCCCACGGAAGTTCTGATAAAATATTCTGGAAATGGTTTTAGGCTGCTTATACACTCATGCAACCCTTACCATGCTGATACCCTTGCTGCTTCTGTAGTTCTGCGGGTTCCAGGAGTCTCCTTCATTGCTTCTGTCATACTGAGGTCACAGCGCTCTTGCAACAGACCTTTCCTGCAGTCATATTCACAGCATCTGGTACTGCGCAGTCTTGGTTTGCGCCTGGATGACTAGGAGCTCTAATATAAACAAACTGCAAGAACAAGTTTGTTTCCTTTTCTTTAGCTTACATGGCACACTTCCGGGAATTACACTTGAGCTCCCCAGGGAGAAGACAATTCACTGCTTCCACCTTACCTGGATTTAAATAAGGGATTGGGATTTCTCCAAAGTTGGCAAACAATTCCCTGATGCAACCAGGAACAGAATTTACAAAGTCTTGCCTTTGTCTTCCTGTTTTCTACCCCTCCTGCATCTTCTTTCCCCGCTGCCCAGGAACTGCTACACTCCGTAAATTCTTCACTTCCCTCAGGGGTTTCCTCAGAGTTACAACCATCACTCAAGCAGCCCCAGCTTTGCCATCAACTGCTGTCGCAGTTCCTTTGGCCACCACACAACTCCAGCCAAATTTCCCCAAACACTCAGGAGTGCAAGCTGCTCCATTTGTAGCACTGCAGTTGCTCTGTAAGTTTTTTTCAGCCAGGAATGCACTGCGTGTGAAAGTAACTCTTGCAGTGCTGTTGTAGAGATAACAGTTTGGTTATGCCTCAAAGGTACTCTTCTACTACCCAGAGCTGAAAGCTGTTACTTCAGAGCTGCAAAGGAAGCAGACATGACCAGGTATCCACAACAGCACCACAGAGATTCCAGAACAGTCTCTGAAGTCCTGATATTCATTATCATAGCTAGAAGAAAAAAACGAAAAGGCTGTGTCTGAGTATTTCATCCAATACAAAGTAAACAGTTTTTCTTCCACAGTTTATGGAGGCACTTTGGGGGAAGCCCACGTTAGGAACCGAAGAGGAATTCTTGAATTGGCGGGAGCCATCAGATGCACTACAGGGCGGTCTCCTTTTGCCTACCTGCGCTATGGGTGCTACTGTGGCCTGGGAGGAAGGGGATGGCCCAAGGACAGAGTGGACTGGTAAGCATAACTTCTTATCTGGGTAGCAAAGTGCTGAATGCTTGCAAATACCAAAGCAAGAAGTCTGAATTGTCAGTTAGGCCCAGTTAACATCAATGTGGAACTGAGTTTAAACACAATTCAGAGTGCTAAGAAACCTTGAAGCATTAAAATGGCATTGGTGTAGATCTATGCGAGTCTTCAGCTGAAATTCTTACCTTGCCAACACTGGCCTCACAGTACAACATAGTTTCCTGGATGTTACTGCTTGGCCAAGAGCTGAAGAACTAAAGACTTCTTGGAGAAGTTTTAAAAGCACAAACATTCAGTCTATTAAAAAAAAAAGTCATTGAAAAAATCTTTTTATTTTAGTTTTGCTCAGCCCACTCTATTAGTATTCAAAATAAGACACAAAACTGTGTGAAATTCAACCTGATAAAAATAACATTTGAGTAAAACTAATAACAAGTTCTTACGAAAATGAGCATGAAAAACAGTCCTCATATTTAGCACTAGGTCTCATTGCACTGACTGGCATTAATTTAATTTATAATTGAACATTAGCTGACAGGAAGATGATTTCCTGGTGACAACAGTTACATAAGGGTTCACATTTTCAAGCTTACCATTACAGTGATGCACCTCCCCACCACACACTGCAGCTCAAGTTCCCACTTAGCAGACAGGTACTACTGTAAATCAGAAGGAAAACACCTGATGTTTACCATTAGAGCAGAACATACAGAAAGCCAGTATCTGAAGCTTTTGTGGTCAGACCTTACACCTCTACAGCCTTTGCCAACGTATTTCAGGCCTTTGGGTATAAAATGCTATTATTCTTGAGGCTGCTACTTTGATGGCTAGAACACATAGGAAAAGAAGGCCCAGTTCTTGGTCACTTACATATCTGAAGATAAGGATGGAGCATCTGCAGTTTGCCAGTCTTGCCTTGTAGGTCTGATTTTCACTTCTGTAAAGTCCCATGGTAACAAGAAGGCTCCTCTCAGAGCACGGCTCATTATTTGTGGCTGGGTTTTAGCAGCCACATGACACTAAGAACAAGGTAGAAGTGAGCATGTGTACTCTGCTTCTGCATTTGATCAGGAACAGTGCTAATTAACGCGTAGCATCAAATGCTCTCATCAAGTATTTCTTGAAGTTATAAGCTGTCCTGTGGACTGCTTACATTCAGAATTCGATCTGCTAACAAGTAAATTATTCACATAATAGTTACTGCCTCTTAAATGTATCCCTATCACTTATAAATGTGCACATGGAGACAACTGCTTTCTGTATTGCTTTTACAAGACAACATCTAAAAATCCAGAAACATATGTTCTATTCTTCAAAGGCTTAAAAGCTATTGTAAAAAATTAAGCCATATTTTTGTAGACTACCATTTTTTGTAACCATATGAAGACTGGCACAAAGCTGTGGCAAAAGCAGCCCTGCTGCTGGGTCATTCCTGTTAGTCCTGCTACCAATGCTCCGAGTGTAGATTTTTGATTGTTTTCTTTTGGAAGACTTATTCCTACCTAGAATGGATGCACTGAGCTACTTCACAGGCATTGTGATGGTCAACTGTTCAGCGCTGCAGGATGTTTAAATGAAGATTGGTAATCATTTAATAAGCATGGGGAAAAAAAAAAGTAGTAATTGCAAGTGGGAAAAAGTGCTGTGAGCTCTATTGCAAACAAGTTCCTCAGGCAAGCTGAACACCACCTAAACATCACGTGCCTACAGTAATACGATGCTTTTAGGCGGAAATGGAGTGACTGAACACAAAGAGCTCACTGATACATCCTGTTCTTCCACTGAGTCAAAAAGAGCAGCTGGTTTGCAGTAAGACATCTGGGGTGATATGCTATGGCCTAACAGGTCCGCTGTTAGCAACTGTTACAATAACATCAATAATTGGAAGAAAAATAAGGCAGTTATTATCTGGCAAACTGTGCTGGTGTTTAATCATCACCTAGAGAGATGCTGCAGAAAGGGCTTACCTTCTGAAGTAGTTACTTTATTGCAAACTAAAAACATTTCAGATTCTCATGGATGAAAACACAGGGGAAGTTCAATGAGTTCAACACGTAGCAGACACTTCAATCATAATACAGGCAAAATGTTCTGCATCATACCTACTAACCAATTAGCTTGTTTTGATTCCTGAGTAGGTAACTGTTTGCATGGATTATTTCATTCCTATCACCTATAGAAACGTGCCACTCAAAACCATCCAGATATGTGGCTGTAAATTACCACAGCATGCATTAAGGCAAGCCCATTTCTGTTATTCCCAGGTGCTGCTTTAACCATGACTGCTGCTACGGTAAGGCAGAGCAAGCAGGCTGTCACCCCAAGATAGAAAGTTACCACTGGGAATGCGAGGACAACACTGCTGTGTGTGGTGAGTGGACAGCTCTGGTTGTGAGTTTAGTTTGACTTGTACCAATTGTCTCAGGGACTTCACAGAAAGACATTCATTAACTAACCACAAAATCCTTACTCTGCCTTCCCTCCATTTCTGACTTCTTTGCCAGAGCAGGCTGTGTTTCCAGAAAGTACGGCTCTCCAACCGAATCCAATTTCCTCTTCTAAATTCCCACTTGCTGACACACAACCAGAATTCCAATCTGCAAGTTTCCAGTACTCTTTCAGTAGCACTAAAAATCCGGACCAAACACACAGCACAGAAATGACACTGGCCACCTTTTCACTCCAGCTACAGGCAGCTGATGTGTATGAGGGAGCCCACGTTACACCACACCCTACACCACACAGACCCTCTACTCGCTAATTTCCTCCATTGCTCCGATCCTTTAATTTCTTACTGAATTCCTTAATAAAGAGGAAGTGGCAGTAAGCAAGGGGAGGTGGGATTTAAGCTGAAAATGGAGCATTCTTGCATCCTTTATTTCACATATGCAATTCTTAATGCTACATCCTGTAACTGATCAAAGTGCACATGAAATGGAAACGTTTTTCCTGATTTCTGCCCCAGAAGGACATGCAGGAGGGGTACCCACTGCTTCCCAAAGAGGAACTGTTTATCAGAGTTCCTTTTGAAAGGCACTACAGATGTTTTGCTGAAGCAAACCATGCTTATGTATCCTCTATTGCTGAGCTGTCCTTGCATGGAGCTCAGTCTAAAGATGGAAGAATTCCTAATACACGAAAGCAGTGCATTACTAAAGCTTAGTGCAGTTCCTATTGCATTTCAACTACAAGAGCAAAACGAAACATTACTGCTGTTCTATGAAAGGTAATGAACACTATACGGTGAACGTGGGAGGCAGTAATTGTACTTTCATTGGGTATTTTTATTATTACTACTTCAAACTAGAATCAAACCTACTTTGTTTTCTTTCAGAATCACTAGAAGACAAGTGTCAAAAAATGGCATGTGAATGTGATCGTGAAGCTGCCAAATGTTTTTCTAAAGCTCCCTACCATACCAAGTACCTCCTGTGGCCAGATATCATGTGTGGTGAGGTTCAACCTTTGTGTAGATATTAAACACACAACATCAGCCCCTATGAAAACTCTGTACTTACTCGAAATCTGCAAAGATGGCTTTTGTCACAGTAGTGACAGGAAATGATTTTTCTCTTTCTCGTCCTTCCCTCCTGCCACTCCTCTGCCTTAGAATGGCCAAAGTAAACACTTCTCTTCTTATTTACTTTCTACAATACATGGACAAAAACCAAGTTCAGTAATTTGGTTTAAGCTTTTCTTTACGAAGCTCAAATTCTTCTTTAGTATTTATCAGTTTAAGGTGTAATTGACTGATTTGTCTGAATCACAGAATGGCTTGGGTTGGCTACCTTTCCCATCAGAGTTTGATCTCACACAACAGCAGTTTGCACAGTTCAGGAGCTTGTAACTCACAGGGACATAAAAATGGCTTCAGCTTGTTTCCATAGTTTTGGGAGACATTTTAAGAAAAGGAGAAGTCAGTAACAAAACTACTGACAAACACATTTTTCCGTAACTGATAATTTTAACAGCTTAAGAACAAGGAATGGTTTATCTTCATCCACCTCAACTTATTTGTAGTGAGAGGAATACAAAACAAATACAAGAAATGCAAGTCAAAGGTAATGTCAAATACTTTGATATAAAATAAATAAATAAAACTTCTTCAGGAAGGACTATGATTTAAAATGATATCTTTAATCTTTAAAAAATATTCGTAGGCAAATTTAAAGCTCATACTCATGATACAAACACAAAAGCAAAACCAAAAAAAACTCACAACACATAATGAAAGGTCAAAAACCTTACATCAGTAAGTGGCAATCCATTTATACAAAACAGTCCATATCTCCACTCAGTGTTCATTCACAGACCTAAATACACACCTTTCATTGCAGTAAGGCATAATTACAGTGTCAGGTCACTTATCCAAAATAATCCTTTTAAGAGCTCATTGTGAATTTAAGGATTAGCAACAGATTTTTTAAGAGAGCATTAAAGAAGCTGTTGATGAATTCTAACTGATCTGAACAGAACAAAAAAAAAACCATGTGAACAGCAATTGCCATATTTTCCATAGGCCAAAGCTTGGTCTTTGCCATCTACACAGGGAATTTTAGAACAACCTCACTGTGCATTTCTCAGTCAGAACTTCACACGTAAAGCAGGCTGAAAACACCAAAGTACTTCCAATATCAAGCCTATCCTTTCAGCTTTCCTTCGGCAAACTCAAGTTCTGCACAGCACACTGCTGGTGTGGAACAGTAAGTTGAAAACATCACCACAGCTTTCCAGAAAACACTGATTTCATGACAGAACAAAGAAGTACTATTTGATCAAAAATACGACTTAACTAAGTTTCAAGTGGCTAAATCAGGAATATATTTGTTTCATTAACTACAAAAATCATTGGGTAATAAAGCCCATCCTCAGACTTGGAATCAGCTGTTCAACAGTAACTTACCTCAAGGCTTTTTCATATGTTTAAGTTAATGTAATCTACTTTCACTGCCACATTATAAAAGGAAAATAAAAACATAAACCAAAGTTTCTTTTGAAGTAAGCATTTTTGGAAACTAACCAGCTCAAAAGCTCGATGTCAGTCATTGCACTTGTGTCTCCAGGCGCCTTACTTCTTTAACTACAAGATCAATGTTTATAATTGGGTTGAAGTACAAGGCCCAGTAAAACAAACAATTGCAGACAAACTGAGGAATAACAGGCCAAAAAACTGCAACAAAAAGACCCTGGGTTGAGACTTTCCAAAAATGTTTCCACATTCTGTGAGGAATAGTCCTGTGGAAAAGGAAAGGGAGAGGCTTAGAGGCTTTGCTTTTAACCATTCTAAGACAAGCTAGTGTTTTAGCCTCAAATTATTTCACACCTACTCAAGTTTCTTATAAAAAACAGAATTCTTCACTCCACAAAAACTTACTTAAAACACACTAATATTACTTTTTATGTGAGGAAGCATTATGCCAATTTATTCAGACCACAAAGCACAGCAGTTGGAAGTGGTAGAATTCCAGATTTGCCATAGATGATTTCCACACAGCCAGTTCTCTTTTGAAGATGTTCTGCCCCCTACCTGCTGGCAAGAGCAGCAACTCCATATGTGCCAAAGCAAGAATTTCTCCACAAAACTTTTAAAGAATTATAACCAAGAGATCACAGCAATTATGAAGTGATATTAATGCATTAAAGCAGCAATATCTGTCCAATTAAATATCCTTCAATAACTATCCTGTGAACATACCATGACAGAACTCTGACGTATTTAGCTCTCAGCTGACAGATAACACCAGTTATGCTAAGAGGCAGTTCTCAAGGGAAGAGCGAGACACCTTCTGAACAGTTAAATAAAACCACTGCATTTACTTCATCTGATCAGTAAAACCAGCTGTAGGAAATCCTTTCAAGTATCCACAGCAACAAAAATATTCAAAAGCGAGTATTACATGTGCAGATTCAGACTTGCATCTTATTATCATTTTCAGTAAGCCCCTCATAACAGACCTATTTTCCAGTTTATAGTGTACTTCCTACATCCCTCAACAAGCTCAGTAAGACTTACTTCAATTCTCTTCTTGACCAGAGCTTCCAAAAGGAGAATAGTTCCAGAACAGAGAGTAGCATGGCATTTACAATGATAAATCTTGATGTCCAGTAGTGCACATCCAGCCAGTCCCAAGCAAATTCAGCTACCAACTGGTATGGCAAAAATATATACTTTACAATGAATTCTCTCCACTGTTTCCAAGTGGGATCTTTAAGGTCCTGTAAATTAGGATAAAAAGTGTTAAACAATTTCCTACTAAATACTGGCTTATTTCCACCGTTCCTTTATTGATCTTTTACTGTTTTTTTATTTGTTTAGTAAATTCAAAGCAGTAATTACTCTTTTTTATGCTTTCAGTAGATAATATCATAACCCAATAACTTCAATTAATTAGCCAAAACATCACAGCCAGACAGACATTATCACCCCATTTTTTCAGTGAAGATATTTTCAGTGAAAGGTCTTTCTACACTCATGTGAACTTTTTTTTTTTTTTAAAAGATAAAAAAATATGATAATAAGAAAATTAAGTTTCACAGACTTAAAACCTTAAACATCTTAAATAATTCTTAGTACAGGTTATGGTCACAACACTGCTAGTCCTGCATAATAAAGTAAAAGCAACAAGTTACTATTAAGATTTCTTTTTAAGAAGTTGCACTGCAAGGAGATGACATTATGAATAATTGCATCACACTTTTTTAAGCAACTGATTCTTAACATGCTTCAACCAAGTAGCATTTGAGCACTTACTAATAATTTTGTGACCATGTCTTCATATTGGTCTTCTTGCATAGGACAAATGGTGTGGATAAAAGGTAGGAAAGCTTCAGTATAATCAAACAGATATAAGTATAACATACTGAGTCTTGGAGAATTCTTGAGTGCATACAAAAGAAAGAGTGATTTTCCTGGATTTACTGCCTGAAAAGTGTCAAATTGTAAACAATGAAAAGATGAAATGAAAGGTGCATGACAGTTCTTAGACTTTTCTAACAGTCATTTCTCAAAGGGTCATTTTTTCAAATACAATAGTTGATTAAGCTAAGCAATTTTTACAAAGATAATTCTACTTCCCTAACAACCCTTTCAACTTTAAGAGAGCTGTCTTTGAAATATATGACTTAAAGTCACTTAATATAGATGGTAGACTAAGAGAATTTACCTTGTACTCCCAAAGGTTCTGTGGCGGTTTAACACCTAAAGTTCTGACACATTCCAATTCTGCTGTAATTGCTTTTCTATGGTTATTGTTCTCTATACTGAAAGGCTCTTTTGTGAAATCCTCCTCTGTCAGCGTTACAAGGAGCCTAAAAAGGCAGAAGAATTTTGAAGGCAAACAGTGACTCTACACCAAGAAGATATGACTAACAAATCAGTAACTACATACTGAAACAATAAGCTACTGATAGAAGGTATCACCTTTTGGATCACCTTTCATGTTCTGAATCAACTGCATCTCAGAAGCTGGGTTTTAAATATCCTTCTTTTCGAGTTCTCTCTTGCCTGCTCTCAGCATGCAAATGTATGAGCTTGTTGACTATTAATGAACACAGTTCTTCAGTACATCACAGATCTAGTCTGGTCTCCTGATATCAAACCTGGAGCTCGTCGGTCGAGCACAATATAGCATATGCATGTTTTCACAGGAAAGAAAAGTGGAGGGGTGGATATTGCATTAATAGAATTTTATTTTCAGGACCATTTCAGTCTGCACTGTCAGTATCTAAATACGCTCTCAGAAAAACTTCAGTTAGGTTGCTAAGTATCTACTACTGTTTTCAACTACAAATATTAAAACTTCCCCTATATTTTATCTTGATACATCAACAGAATATTCCCCCCCCACTATGGAACAAAGTCTGATTATTACAAAATGCACCATGCCTAACGAAAGCCACCCAGCAATCCACTCAGATGATAGCAGCTCCTGATAATTAGACCACTCACCTTCCATTCACTTTCTCCAGCAAAAATCTTTCTTTATAAAGAGAGGCCCAAGGGCCCAGCTGCTCCAGCCAAAGCGCCACTTCTTCAGCAGTCCATTTAGCAACAGGCTTGTGGACAAGAAGATCATCTTCAAGTTCTCTGCTACTCCAGTGATACCCAAGTAGTACTACCTACATGTAAATTAAAAATAAAACAAAGGAGGTTCTTTACCTGCAACGCAAATATATTAAATCATACAGATAAACATGCATTAGGGGCTCGACACGCAAAATCTTCCATTCTAAGGACCCTACAGTATTTAGGTTATAAGAAAATACCTTTTAGCCAATTTGTCTAATTTCCATTTGCTGTAAACTGAAACTGTACACCTGGTAGACAACTCTGACACAGCGCATTCACTCAGCTCAGCTGAAGTTTCCTCTATACCGACAATCGCTTTGACATCCATAGACTTTAAGTACATTTCATTGGATACTTAACCAAGAATATGGAAGACCATCCAGATGAAACTTACTGCTACACAAGTTAAAGCTGTCAGAACGCCTGAGAAAAACCCTCTTCCTTGAGGATTAATTCTTCCTGTGTTTGGAGCCGTAGAAATCTGGTCATTCCCATATTTTTGGAAGGTTGCTAAGCTGCGCACTACATCACTGTTTTGCTGAATATCTTCTTTTCTTTGTTCAATGGCATCAGAAAACAGCCTTTCAATAACATCCCTAATGGGAGAAACACTTGTCACTGACCAATATCATCACTGAGCCTTAGCACTTAGAAAAGGAATTTATTTTAAGATTTATATTTTCCAGCTTATACCAAAGACTATCATCTCTGAAAGCAGGAAAACATTACTTATTAGCACTTGGTACAGTTAATCAACTACTTCAAAATAGCATTTTAAATATAGAGGAAGTAAAAAATCTCTCATTTAAAAACAAGTAAGTCCTTAATGCAAAATTAGAATTGTTTGCTATGGGCATGTCCTGATTATTCAAAAATGCTAAGCAAGAGACAACATAAAAGCATCAATCCTATATCCTACTTATTAAAAATCTATTAGTGAAGGTAACTGTTTCCTTGCACCACAGGAACTGGATTGTAGGTAACTGCAGACAGCAGTTCGGTATTTCTTGCTTTCTTCTGCCATAAGGTCACATTTCTTTCTATAAAAGATTCCTATCATAGAAAGTCCCTTTGCTATCAAGGATAATTCTAACTTAATACAAATCCCCTAAAAAGTCAGAAGGGAAAAACCAAACAAGCAACCACCATCTCACTTCTGTGCTTTCCATTTTTTTCAGAAAAAAAGGAGGGGTAGCATGAAAGACTTCAGATAAAATAAAGACTTGAATAAAATACAAAAATACCTAAGCAGACAGTTAGTTTTGCTTGGTTTAGGAATCCAAACAAACAGCAGAAAAGTATATTAAAATCACCTCAGGAGAATGTTGACTTTGGGGAATCCTTCCCATTTTTCTCTGCATTCCGGACATTCATTCTTCTTGGAGGACGCCCACCACAAGGCTAAGCAATGTCTACAGAAGCTGTGCCCACAGTTCAGGGTGGTGGGATTGACCAGAATGTCGTAACAGCAGTGGCAAAGGAACTCACTCACTGATATCTGCCGGCCAACTTCAGGCTTAGCGCGTGCTGTAACTCCTGCCATGCTGGGTTCACTGCATAAGCTCTCATCTTCTTCCATCTTCTTTTATACCTTATGCAAGCTGGTCTTCAAATCGGCACAGCATTGCTTCTGTAAAGTAACAGGAGAGGCCTCGGTATGAAAAAAAAGTTACTACAGATGTTTAGGATTGCAAGAAGTGTATTTTTTCCATTGTAACACATTTTCTTGCTCTTGTAGTTTTAAAACTTGTTAACTTAAATTTTTCCTAAGGGAAACATCATTCCACTTTTTCAACAGTACATTCACCCCAAACCACGCTCAGAATGAGGCTCTGGGTGTAAAGCAGCGGGCTCAGCCTCTTTGCCTTTTCTTCTCTGGCGTTACGGAAACCAAAAACGCAGCGAAAGCGAAACCGAAGGCGCCGCCAGCTCTCCAATTCAGAGGCCCTTCTTCTTCTGCCTACCCACAAGCAACATCAATAGAAAACACCAGAAGAGAACAAAAGACAAAAGCAAGGCCGACGTCCGCACACCGTACGGACGGCAGCGGCTCGCGGTGCGCTCAGGTACGGGCACGGGGCGAGCGGAGCCGAACCCGCCCCGAGCAGCGCCCGCTCCTCGCTGCCAGCTCGGGAAACGCGCAGGTGAGAAAGGAGCGACTGCGGCCAAAAATACCGCCCTGTTCTCTTAGCGCTCTCGCTCTGCTCTGAGGCGATCGTATCACCGCGGTAAGGCAGGCGCCGACGCCGTTACGGAACGGCCGCGCCGCACGGGCCGCAGCACACCGCGCTTATCGCAACGCCAGCGGGCACGAGAGCGGGCAGCCGGGCGGGGAAAGGGGAGAGAGAAGGGAGAAGAGCGGGAGGATAGAGGAGGGAGAGGAGAGGAGAGCCCCGAGGCGCAGTGCCGCCCGCCGGGCCGCTCCGCAGCGCAGCACGGACCGCCGGTCTTCCGAGCGCGGCGAGCGAACCATCGCTTACACGAGGAGAAACAAAGGCAACCTTTCCGCGCCCGAGACCGTTCTTCCGCCTTCCCGAGGACACAGGCGCTAACGCTCCCGCGGACGCGCGGCCCTCCCGCCCGGGCTGCTCCTCCCCGCTCCGCCGGGACGCGCCCCGCAGTCGGCCGCCTGAGCCGCAGCCACGGGAGGAGCCCCGGCCCCGCACCGCTCCGCACTTACCGGCGCCTCTGGGGTTCGTCCCGCAGCGCGGGGCTCGGATCCGCGCTCGGCTCCCGACGGCCGCCTCGGCTGAGCTGGCGGCTGCCCTGCGCACGCACGGCCGTCCCTTTTCGATCTTTAACCTTGTTTTTCAACGTTTTAAAAGCCACCCTCCTGGCGCTGCTCTGCATTCTGAGTTTTCCTGAACGCGCTCGCTTCCCTCCGAGAGCACCGAGCTGCGTTTCTGACCGTCCGCCCACCGTGCCCGAGTTATCGTCCGGCTGAGGGCTGGAGCCCTGATGGCAGAGCTTCGTCAGGCTATTAGAGGCTGGCTTAACGGCAGCGGTACCCAGGATGCTGGCTCACACAGACTACTTTCACTACATTTGAGATAGCTCATATATACACACACACCCTCACGCATATTTATATCAGCGTCCCTTCCCTCACTGTATTCCTTTTCGACTACTGTCCAAAGCAAAGATTGGTTTGTTTTTTTTTTTAAAGTGCTGACAAGGTGGATTTCTTACTGTGCAATATAACGTGACATTTTCTTAGAGACTTGGTTCTTAGGGTGCAGTTCGCATGGTGTAAGGACCAAAACCTGTCCCAGCCTCTGCCACACGCAAAGCACAAGGCTTTGTCCCAGCTAAGTTCCAGCCTTTATTTCATACAAAGATGGAGTGCCCAGCTCATACCTCACCTCACTCTATTTGCAGTCCTCATTAAGCATATGAAGTTAATGCCCACTGAGCAGACCCTTAAATCACCCTAGCGTGAAAATATGCTCCTCTTCTAGACCAGAGGAAGTTCACCTACATCCGTCTTGGCACACACAAAGAATTGGACTAAGAATATTTAGCTCTAGAGCCTTGTTTTTGGCATATTGTTATTTTTTGTTTGCACTTAGCTTCACTTTGACGCTTGGTAAAGTAACAGAAAGTACACAGGTCTGATACAAGTGTGCTGCAGACTGATACAGAGGATGTGGAAACTCAGACTTTGGGTTTAGTTTACAAAATGTTCATAATACAAAAACAATGTAACTCTGTAATTAGTGATTTGACCTGCTCTCCTCCAAGGCTACTGAGTAATTCGGAAAGCAGCCAATCTTGTCTCATGTAAAAAAAATAGGACATTTAAAGATTTCAGATTACAAGCTATGTATTTGTAAATGGAGTTGCTCCAGTGTGCACATACAAAAGAAATGGGTATTTAACTCCCTAGGTAAATGTTACCTTCTGAATCAGAATTCTTAATAATTCCTAATTTATTTTTAATATCCAATAGCATTTCCTTTTTATTGCAATAAACTATAGGAAGACAGTTAAGAGGAGACTATTCCAGATGTGGATCATGGCCAATAATCAATAATTTTATTTTTCTCCAAACCAGATCCTCTCAGCAAACAAAACCAACCACACATAGCTCGGCAGTGGCAGCCTGTGCACTGGGAGAAGTTGCTCTTAACAAAGAATGGCTATTCTCCCCATGGAGACAGCTCTGCCCTCACAGCACAGACCTGCTGTCCTGCAGCCTTGGCTTCCTGCTGCTCTGTACCTTTGGCCCAATTCTGCAGCTAGCTCCTGGAAGCACCGCTTCTCCTCGGGCCAGATACCACGAGCTCAGGCTCTTTTCACACCTGACACGGTCTCTGCAGCCATCAACCTCTGGACACACACATGCTCACTGGTGCCCTGCTTCGGCTTCCAGAGCAGCAATGGATGGGAGCCAAGCACTGCCACGAGCAGATCACCCACACCTCAAAGCTTCAGTTTGCCCATTCACCACTGGTTAAGTACTGCTACCTCTAAAACTTTTGTTTCGACTCTTCAATGAGAGGCTGCAGTTTCAAGAACTTTCAAACAGTTCTTGAAAATTACGTGAGCAAGGTTAGCATTTCACATTTCAGACAAGTTACTGCAAAACAGATGAACTCTACTATTTCAACTAACCTCCTACTGAGCACCATGTAATCCCGCAGGCTATTCGCTGCAGACATGCGCAGCATGAACCGCCCGCAGCCAGAAGGCAAAACCTCACCCAGCTCCACCGCCCAGGCCCGCAGCTCCGGCTCCGTGCAGGCGCTCGCTCCATTTGCTCTCGTTCAGCCGGAACAGGACTTTCCCGGGCTGTGTGAGCCGTAACCCCGACCGCCGTTCCGCAGCGCGTTTCAGCGAAAGCAGCTGAGGCGCCGTGCTTCGGCCGGCCTTTCTGCCGCGGGATCCTCCGCGCTCGTCTCCCGGACGGCCGTTCCCTCCTGCAGCACGGCCACGGACGCCGGGCTGGGCTCTGAGGTTCATCTGAGCTTCATTCAGCGCCTTTCCATCGGCACGGGACGAGGAACGCTCGCTGTCTCGCGGTGCTCTCCCGCCGCGCTCCTCGCACCTCCTCAGCTGACGTCCGCCACTTCTTTCCCGGAGGCGCCTGCGCCGCCCTTCCCTTCACACCGACCGCTCCCCGGTACTCCGCGCGGCGCCCGAGCTGGGTCGTTCGAGGGCTGCCGACCTCTGCCGCCGATACGCAGCGGTTTCCAGCTCCTAACGGTCCACCGCCGCGCGGCTGTCACCGCTCACACAGAAGCGGCTGGGCCGCACTCTCCCGCCCGTGCTCTAGGAACGGCTCCGCCCGCGGCAAGATGGCAGGGCCTCACGTGGGCGCGCTGGAGAGGAGAGGAGGGGCGGGGCGGGGCCGGTTCCGGAAGCGCTCGGCGGCGGCGGTTGCGCGCCGGGCTCCGGGCGGGCTGGTGCGGGCGAGGGATGGAGGTGATCAGAAGCAGTGAGTGACCGGCGGCGGGCTCCGAGCCGTGCGCGGTGTTCCCCGGTGACCCCGCTCCCTCCCCCCGGGCCGGTGGCAGGCTCCGGCCTTCGCCTCAGGGATGCCAGGCGGCCGCGCTGCTCCCGCCCCTGCGGGCCGGCCTGAGCGGCGGGCGGGAAGGAGGGCTGAACGCGGGCTGAGCGCGGCGGGCGGCCCCGGCCGGTCGCCTCAGGTGTGCTTTTACCTCTTGCTGCAGATTTTAAGGATAACCTAAGCAAAGTGTACGAAGCTGTCGAAGAAGCGGACTTCCTGGCCATTGATGGGGAGTTCTCAGGTACGGCCGCGCGCTCTGTGAGCTGTGGGCCGTATCGTGTGGTAACGGAACGCGGCCGAGCGTTTGGCTTAGACAAGCGGCAGAGGCTTCTGGTGTGCCTTGTGTGCAGTGGTGGGGCTTTGGTCGAGGAAATGCATGTCTGTGTGCCGTGGAGTCGGAGAACGGTCTGTTGTAGCCGCGGATCTTCTCCCGCCCGCGGTGATTTCTGGTGTCGCTTGGTTGGTTGATTCTCAGCTGCAGCTGTGCCTGTGTTGTGCATGCAGGAGGTTGGGAAACATAAGGGAGGTCCTGCCTGTGTTTGCACAGGGAGAGGCAGCGGAAAGAACTCTGACATTTCTAAGGTCTGGGGGTCTGTGCGTCAGAGAGCCTGCAGTAAATGTTCTGGCTGTGGGATGAAGTCAATTCACCCAACCACAAAGCGAGTGTGAGCAGAGCTGCGTTTGTTAGATGTGCTACTTCGGGGTGCATGGCTGCTAATTGGTGTTGCATCGGATGTTTAAGTCGTTCATCAAATCTCTATGCCCTACTCACGTTTTTCGTTTGACTTTGAACCACTGCTGTGTTGTAATGTCAGCACTGTGTTTGTGTCACACAGAATGAGAACCATGCTTTTAAAGCAAGGTTTTAGTGTTAGAACTGCACATTCTAGTTGGACATATTTTATGTTTGAGACTCATGCTTTTACACAATAGAAAGCTTCTCTTGACTGACGTCTTACCAGTTGTTGCATTTCTAGCTGTGGCTAATTTTCAAAAGCTTACCCTAAGCTCTGCTTTTTCAGGGATCAGCGATGGGCCTTCTGTTAGTGCATTAACCAATGGCTTTGACACACCAGAAGAACGGTATCAGAAACTTAAAAAGGTAAAGTGTTCACCATGACAGAAATGAAAGTGTTGCAAAAAGTTAGAACTCTAGTTCAGCAAAGAGGCAGTGCAGCACAGTATGATAACTGGAGGTCTGTAAAATTGAGTTACCTGTGTGAGCTGACAAAGAGTTGCTTGTTTTATTGTTTCTGCTAGCACAAGTATTGGGGAAAGACGTATAAAACCTGATGAAGTTGTGGGAAGAGCAAACCAAGGAGTGTGATTTTTCGTGTAAGTTGTAGTAGATCTGTTGAACTTGTTGTCAGAGAATGTTGAGGGTGTTAAAAATTTTTGGTTCAAACTGGGACTTGGTAAGAGAAAGTCAGTGACAGAGAAGCTACATCAGAATGAGGGTCCTTCCTGAACAGCCTCTCCTCCATCAGAATGTACTGTCTCTAACAAAATCAAAATGCCAGCTGTCACCATCACACACACACACACACACACACAAAATACAAAAAACAGTCCAATGGCCATGGGAGACAACGTGTGTGAGGTTAAAGCTGTGATGGTTTGGGTTGTCATGCTCCCATCCGCAGGGCTCAGAAAAGTGCTAAGCATGGCAGCAGTACTGTTTTCTGATGGCATCCATGGAGTTTACGCTGTTTACTATTATTCTGTTAAGAGACATTCAAGGACTAAACACTGCTAACTGTTATTCTGCTAAGAGGCAGTATTACAGTATGAGAGACATAGTGGTCGGTGTTCCTATCGTTCCTCTCCACTAGAGGTGGCCATTGAGAAACTGTGTTTTCCTTGTGTTTGAAACAGCTGTTTAGCCCTCCAGATGAGCGAATCAGTGCAACTAGAAGGCTTCTTTATTTTCTTATCCACTTACAGCAGTGTTAAAAACCTTTCCAGTGTTAATTCAATGATTGTGAAACAGTTGAGGACACCATGATAAAGTGCCTAGCAGCTATGCTAGCTCTTATATCGCTGTTAGCCATGTGAATTAGAAGACTATTTAGTGTCATTATATGTATTTGGAAGCTACACACGTCCCTCACAAAGTGTTCCCACATTACATGGAATGTAAGTGAACACTGAGAAGAATTGCTAGATGCTTTAGATGCAGTGTGTCCTCCTGATGTGAGTAACAGCTGGGGAGATATGGGAGTTCCTTTAGTTCTTGTGTATTTAGGGAATGAGAATTATTACAGATTGTATTACAGATACAAAATATATACAGAGTGTATTACAGATGATTGTTGAACAAAAGTAAGATGATAAATGGGAATGAAGGCTAGATAAAAAGATCTAGTCCATTTACTAAAAATTACAGAATGTGTATTGATTGTGAAGATGCAGACTAGGTTAACTCTGAAATGAAGCTGTTTTTAAATGTATACCACTTTTGTTCTCATGCAAAGTTTTCCTTACCTTTTCAGCATTCCATGGATTTTTTGCTCTTTCAGTTTGGCCTTTGCACTTTTAAATATGACCACACAGAAGAGAAGTATGTAATTCTCTTATTCCTTGTGTTGTTCACTGAGGAATTTATGAAGTAATGTTGATAAACTGCATTGATGTGCAACTCATCTTTTTCGCAGGTATATTATGAAGTCATTTAATTTCTATATTTTTCCAAAACCCTTTAACAGAAGTTCACCGGATGTCAAGTTTGTCTGTCAGGTTAGTAGAAAAATAGATTTGATTTTTTTTGCTTGGCTGAGCTATGCCTGCAGAAAATTCCTAAGCAGCGTTTTCAGGAAGATCAGTACGACCATCGAGAGAGAGAAGTGGTTGGTTCCTTAACAGCTTAGAAAACAGATAAGCACAAGTTTCTGGGTTTGGTTTTGTTTTCTTAGATAAGAAGTAAAAAACGTCGGTTAAGAATAATCCCCAAAAGTGAGCTTCAAGACAATATTTGTGACTTAGTTTTAAAATCTTGGAGCTAATGTTTCAAATCTGGCAAGATCATTCTAATTTTTTCCTTGTCTGTCTGCTTGTTTCTGTGCTTTTCCCATTTGGTCCTCTATTCCCAACTGCTGTTTCAGTTTCACTGCTTCCCGGGCTATTGCCAGCATTTTTCTGCTCTCAGGTTTGTTCTCCTGTACCATGTTTTTCTCTTTCCCTTCCTTGCTCCGTGTCACTTGTTCTTTCATCTTTATCAGTTCTTATTGCGTATGTGGAAAAAAGTCATAAATGTAAGCAGAAATTTTGAGATTAGCACTTTAAGATTAATATTTGAGGAAAACCTAGAATACAATCTGCTTAAATGTTGCTTTTAACTGAATTGCTGATACTTTCTACCCAACCTGACACAGCAGCAGAGATTTCTTTCCGTACATTTGTTTTTCCTTGTGATAAAGCAGTATATGTATTTAGTGAGGAAAATTGTAATAAAAGATAATACAAAGAAGTAGAGTCTCAGATTATTTTAATTCAAGGATATGATTGTTTTCTAGTCAAATTTTTTGTTCAAGCAAAGCATGCAAATGTCAAAACATAGTTAAAGAAAACCTCCCTGTTCCTTCAGGGAGCTGAGGATGATGTTCTCATGCAGCCAGACTTGCTGCTTGTCCTGAATGTGCATTTTTGTTTTCTTTTTCCTGGGATTTGAGACTTACTCTCAGAAATTTAGTTATTTCTTTTGTTATTGTTCTTATTTTAATTATATCTCTACCATGTTTTTCATCTAGCTGTGCTTTGCACTCAGGCAGATCAAGAAGCACTCGGGAATTAACCTGTCTCCTAGACTGGGATGTTTACTCTGATTTTTAAGCTCTAATAAATGAACATGAGTGCTCCTTAACTGGGTGTTTAAACTGAAGCTGTGGATAACTATTCTAGGCTTAACTGCACTGAGCAGTGCTAAAGAAAGTTTTGGGCTGTCTGTGTTAAGACTATATTGTATAGTCTTATACAAGGCAGGAGAGAGCCTGACCCTCTGTGCTGCTAAGACAGAAGTATTCTCTTTGTTGGGCTTTACTGTCTTGATTCAGGAAACAAAGTCAATCAAAAGTTTCCACAGCAGTTCCAGTTGAAGCTAGCGTATTTTCACCGGCTTGTTATCGATGCACCAAATAACTTCAGACTGAGCACGTGTCACATTAACTTGGAGAGACATTTAGGGCTAGGGATGCCTTGTGAAAATTGAAAGTAAGTGACAAAAGTGACATGGTTTAAAGTGGATCTGAGTTCTTTAGGCTCACAAACTTACTTGCTTCTGGCTCTGAACTTACATAATTTCTGAAAAGCTTAAATTTTCAACAATAATTGGTCTTTGTGAGACACTGATGCTCTTGCCAATTGCAAACTTATATTCTTTTGTTGCAGAGTTCAAGCATAGATTTTTTAGCAAACCAAGGATTTGATTTTAATAAAGTTTTTCGCAATGGTGAGTTGTTTTTCTTTTTTCCCTGTTCGTTAAATTCATGTCATCTTCGTTTTCTGCAGAAAGAAGAAGGCAACTAAGATGTTATTCTCTTAACAATGGAATTCTCTAAGAGTAATTCTGAATTACTAAACTCTAAGGATAATTCTAAGTTATTTGTATCTGATTCTAGAATTATGCTGATAATTACTCTTCAAAGGTCTGTTCTGTGGAATTAAAATTAATAGAATTCATGCTTAGATAAGTACTCGGTAGGTTTTTGGTTTTTTTTTTTACCGATTAAACATGGATAAGGGTAACAAATTACATGGCAGGATAATGGAACAGTTGTCAGGCCTTTTTAGAAACGTTTTAGCAAAGGTGTCTGTGCTTTGGAATTGATGCCGCTGCGGTCTGTTATCAAAGCAGCGCAGGTGTTGAGGAAGAGAAGTGCTCAGTATTCTGGTGATTGCCATCTGAATTTGTGCCAGTCTCACGCTCGTGCTTTATGCAGATGAGGCATACAGCTCTTAAGAATCTAGTGGTACCAGCTCATCTGTTGTGTGGTAGAAGAATGCTTTTGTACCTGCAAATTAAGAATGAGCTCTAGAGCAGGAGATCTGAAAGGTCGGGATGTGTGTTCAGCCTCCAGGGTGTATTGTGGGCAAACACTTGGTTAGTAACAAGTCTTAGCTAAATCATATGTCCCTAACGTACCTGTAATTATGATGAGTTTTGGAATGTCTTTTTCAGGAATTCCATATTTAAATCAGGAAGAGGAAAGACAGTTAAGAGAACAGTATGATGAAAAGCGTTCTCAGGCCAATGGTGCAGGATCTCTCTCCTATATTTCTCCTAATGCCACAAAGTGTCCTGTTGCAATTCCTGAAGATCAGAGAAAATTCATTGATAAAATAGTGTAAGTAAAAATTGTTTAGTAATAAACTGGAGTTCTAATACACAAATGGTAACATCACAATAAATTATATCTTAAAAAAAAGAATTCCTCTCCTGCTATTTATGATGAAATATTCTGTGAAAGGAAGGAGAAGTTTGAAAAAATTCATTATGAGGTTTTTGTTTGGTAAAAATCGCTTTAGTTGTCCATCAGCACAAGGAGGAATTAGATTTCTGTGTTACTGCTGTTCTTGAATCTGGTAGAAATCTTTCCAAAGCAGAGCAGAATTACAGGAAGGAACAGTCCCCCAAGACTTTTATTCAGTCTTCATCTGGCTGGCGTTACTTAATGGTTTTAAGTAGAAAAAGAGACGTATCCCGCAGCTACTGGGTTGTTCAGTGCTTCTTTATTGCATCTTTCTCCAGATGTTTTTGAAACAAAAATGTGAACAATAGTGCCATGTTTGTATGTTGAAGACATTTTTATTAGTTCACTAGCTGTGTTGTTGTTTGGTTTTAAATAGTGTTTTCTTCATGGGAGAGCTATATGCATATTGGTAAAAACTGAAATCTGTAGGACCAAATAATCTATTTAATCTCTTTCTTCCAGGGAACAAATAGAAGAATTTTTAAAGAATGAAGAAAATGAAAGTTTGGAACTGGAGCCATGTACAGGGTCAGTTTTCTGAAATTGTCTTCTGAAAATGATTTTTTTTTTTACTCTATTGAATTAGGAGAGTGACAAGGAAGAAAGATATTTTGACTTGCAGTTCTTTCTTTACTCATTTGTCCTATCTCTGAATGTTGAGAAAGTGTAGTAATCTGTATGAACGTCATGCTCTACTTTGAGCCATAACATCAGCATACATATTTAAGTACTCGCGTTTAAGTATAGCCAAGATCTGTCTTATGTATATCGAAGCTTCTTGCATACCTAAGCCTACTTTTGCTGTTAACAAAGTGCATGATCTAAATTGTCAGTGTTTGTTGTTGACGCTGCGTGTTAAAATTGGCTTTAGTCATTCTCCTTCCCAAAGTCTATTCAGCTTTGGAATCCAGATCTTTGGAGAGTATGGTTGTGATTTAAAAAAAAAAAGCCATGTGAAGTTAGAGATCATTGTGAAGTGAGTGAAGTTGTGTTACCATGTTGATATTCAGTAATGGTGAGTGTGGAGTGTTTGCTAAGAAGAGGATTTGGGGATGGATGTACAAAATATTGTAAATGCTTCCACAGCTTAGCAACTAGCCTATAGGTTTGGGTATCAGTAACTTTTGCCCTTAGCTTAAAAGTCTTTGTACAGATGAGAGAAGCAGCCTTTACTTGAGTATTACTGGTTTAGAATGCATAAGATAAGTGTTAATAACACAATTGTCTTTTGGTTTTAGGTTTCAGAGGAAACTAATTTACCAGACCTTGAGCTGGAAGTAAGTTACTGATAATGCTGCCTTTACTCTGTGATTTCAGTATTTCTGATTTAAAAACAAAATAAAATCTGAGTGAGAGCTAATGAGTGATTAATTCTTTTAAGTGAAGATTTCTCTGATATTCTGAAGGTTGTGTGTTCTGTGGCTCTGCCAAAATATGGAAGTATTTTGGCAATTGAGTGTGGTTGTGATGCAGTGATACAAGCAAGTAGCAGAGGTAGCAGAATTGGTATTAATATTTCCAAGGGTGGTTTATAAATACTAAAATGAATTACATGTTAAAGGCCTGCAGCCACCAAAGTACTTGTGGCTTCAAGTAAGCAAGAACTTTCTTGCCAATGTTTTGTCTTTTGCTTTTCTTGAAAGTAACTTCTGGATTGTGATGAAGTGCCTTGGAAGTTTACTCAGTATTGATTAACTAAGATGTTATGGGCTCTGCAACAGTAGGATGGGAAATTGCATAAGAAACTACCTTAATCTTAGTAACTGTTAAAATATTCTAGGTGCATAAGGAGGCCAATTTGACTGGCCAGTATTTTAACAGTTAACTTTTTATAGTTCTTTTGCATGTAAGACTAAGATTTATAGTAATAATGAAACATGAAGTTACGTAATTGCTACTGTGGATTCAAGATGCTAACTGCCAAATAAATAACTACTGATACTTACCTTTCTATTTTGTAGGTATCCAAAAGGTATCCACGTTGAAACTCTAGAGTCAGATAAGGTAAGCAGGTGTGCTACTGCCTGGGAGCTTTGTCCCGTTGGAAGGAAATTGTACCAGGTCTCACCAACTGCCCTGATTTCTAGGTCTAATCTGAGCTTTCCTGTGCCAAATCTGGAACATTTAAACTGAAATTTGATTAACTAGTTTCTGATCTTTAAATCTGACTGACATTTGAATGATAAACATATATATGTGTGGCTTAATATTATTTAACAGTTAAAAATATAAGTGCCAAAGAATGCTTTAAAATGTAGTGGATCTGACATTTAATGTTGATGAGAAGTAAGTCCATTGGTGAAAAGTAAATCTTGATCTTAGGAGTAATAAACAACAGTCATCACATACTGTATCCTCCCTTCTTAGCCCAGATCTCAACTCCAAAAAACATTTGAAATCCACAGGCTATGATGAAATACTGGTAACCCTTCTTAGAAGTAAGAAGTGTATTTAGTAAAAGATAGGTTTAGTGGATAGCTTTCTAAAGCTGACTTTTGTGTATGGGTGATAAAGTGGTGCTTAGAAGAAAAACAGTCGTGTTGTGAAGTAACTGCTGCTAGGTATGACTTAATCTTCTTAACAATTCAATTTGCAAAAACTTGAATGGTCTTTGTGAACTTCTCGGGGTCATTCCTCAAACAATACTTCTTTTGACTTTAGAAGGAGAGATATATTGTTATTAGTAAGGTAGATGAAGAAGAACGAAAAAGAAGAGAACAGCAGAAACAAGCAAAGGAACAGGTAAATATTTGCAGTAAGTTCCATTTCTTTAGTTTGATTTTAAGAGGGTGGGGAAGAATCCATGCTTTCAGTCAGCTGTGCAGAACTGTGATAGGGCTTGGGAGTATTTCCTTCTTGCTTAGCTGTTGCTGTTGCTTGAAACTGATTCTCCAAATTCTACTCAATTAACTTTGGCTTTTCAATATAGGAAAAAATTTCAAAATACTCCACAAGATTCTAACATTACTCCATCTTTAAACAATATTTAGCCAGTGTTCTGGAGCAGTGAATTCCTCCTTGTGTGAATATGCTGTATCAGAGAAGCAAGCTCTAGTCAGAAGAAACATAGGTCAATTGACTTTAGTAGTACTGTAGAACTATAGTCCTTGCAAAAAGCCTTGCAGAGTTTCTCAAGCAAGTTTTCACATTATTTGGATTTACAATTTGAGTAGTACTCTGTTACAAAACTCGTTTGCTTTCAGTTGTCTGAGTTAATGTTCTGTACAATTAAAGTAATCTGATTCTTCTTGATTGAATGGTGCTGCACATGACTACCGTAGTAACAACTTGACTGCAAAGTTATTTGTGGTATTCAGTCACTCAGCATTTATGGGACTTGATACTTGTGCTTACTGAGCATGAGGAAAGTTTCACGATGTACCAAGACTTGGACTGTGGGAGATGTTGATCACGCTTTTCTTTTTAACTTGCTGTTATTTTGATTCACTTGTCTTTTTGCCTTTCCTTCTTTAAGATGGGTAAGATAAGATGTTTATCTTATTATTATCTAATTATTATCTAATTATTTTGTTATCTTCTTCTTTTTGTCCCTTGGAGAGGGGAGTGAGCAAAAGGCAGTGCGAGTGTTTGGCTGCTGGCTGGGGTCAGCCCACAGCGGTAGCTCACAACTTGTCCAGCATTACAGTGATCCAGAGATGCATTAAAACTGGAGTGATCTCAGTGGCATCTGGCTTTGGCCCTGTGTGTCCCCAAACTTCAGCATTTCTTTTGTGGTCTCTTACTGCTTATGTCTGAAAAATGGTATGAGCCAAACTGGGATTAAAATTTTCAATGTACGCTGGGATTGTGGAAGTGGTGGAGTCTCCTTCTCTGGAGATGTTCAACACCTGCCTGGACGCCTACCTGTGAGACCTGGTGTAGGGAGCTGCTTTGGCAGGGGGTTGGACTCGATCGTCTCTGGAGGGCCTTTCCAACCCCTACGATTCTGTGATTCTGTGTGCAGGTACCATTTTGATGATTGTTGTATTTGTATTTCACTAATGCCAGAATCTTTGCTTACAGGAAGAACTGAATGATGCAGTAGGATTTTCCAGAGTTGTTCATGCCATTGCAAATTCTGTGAGTTGAGATTATTTTTAATGTACTTCTAGCTGTAAGAAAAATAAATAGTTCCAACAAAGGTTCTTTTCTTACCTTTTTTTGCAAGAGAAGATTAAATACACATTGAAGTTGCTTCCCTTTTTAGTGTTTTCTTTTTTCTAGTTGCTGTTGTCATTGTTTTCAATGGTAAGCTAAAGTCATGGACCTACTTATCTGTAAGAGTCAACAGTAGAAGTAGAAGTAGAAAATGCTTACAGCTTTAACAGGATTCTCTTTAGAAACTAAGCTCTGAGCTTTTTTTTTCCTCCTCTGTTCCAAAGAGATCGTTTAACTTTCTTGCAGCCAAAGTCTTAATCATAAAAGGTCACCTGGGTCTCTTCTTTCTACATAGTTAAAGCAGGCTATAGTTTGAGCCCTTCAGCCTGTTTATTTTCATGTAGTTGAGGCAGTGTGCAGTTTAAAAAAGAAATGTGTATGCATATTGATTTCTCTACCAAGTATAAGATGTGGGGTAGTGGATAAGGTTGTCATGTCAAATGAAGCAAAGCTGACATTTCAGAAATTTCTTGCACTTTTTTGACAAGAAACTTCCTTGTACAGCATCTGGCACAAAAGGTTCCCTGCTTGAGAAGCCATGTCACACCCATAACTATTGTATATTAATTACAGCCATAGGGAGTATTTTGTCATTTGTTGTAAAAGCTGTAAATTAAAAGGTAAGCAACTGACAGGTTACTTAATCTTGGGTAGTTTACATTTGGATGCCAAGTTGTGAGAAGCTCCCGTAGTATTATCTTCTGATCATTTCAAGATGTTGCTGAAGGCTGTATTAAGTGTTGAGAACAGAAAAATGAGAGGAGGGGCTGCCCTGAAAGAATGGAAGGGTCTGTGGGCAGGTAGAGAGCAGCAAGTAGGCAGATTGGGCTTGTGCTTGTTCTTGGCTGCTCTCTGCTGACATCTGGGACTGTGCTTTTCACATGCTATCATTGATTTATCTGTGCCTGGAAGCGTGACTAACTTCTAACGTACTTTTCACAGGGCAAACTTGTTATTGGGCACAACATGCTGCTAGATGTTATGCATACTATACATCAGTTCTATTGTCCTCTACCTGATGTAAGTAATCTTCTCAGTGTGCAGATGAGATTAAAGTCATATATTAAGGCATTTATGTCATCAACTCCAACCTTTCTTTTGAGTGAAAGCATATGATGGTTTTACTAAGAACTGTAGAGAAGTATTTTAAAATAAACACTTGTGGCTTCTTGGCTGCCGCCTTATCTTCTTAAATCCTCATATAGAAAGCTTAGTTGAATTCTTCTCCTACACTTTCAAAAATTCAAATTAAATGTTGGAATTGAATTGTGCTTTCTGGTTGTATCTGACTCCTTCAGGATCTGCTTCAATAATGGCAGACAAATTTATGTATTTGCTAAGAGACTGGCTTGGAACAGTTGGTTGCTGTGATGATATATAATGCTTTTTCCCCTCTACTTACAAAATTGTTAAATGTCTTTTCATATAATAAAGTAAAATGAATAGAATGATAAGAAATTTGATAGCAGAAATTTATGATGAAGCTCATTATGTTAAAGAGGTGCAATGTCTGAGTAATTGGAGAGAATGCTTTCATGAGCACCACGGGGCAAGTCTAACAATTAAGATAGACTGAGTAATGTACTGGCACTAAAAACAGTGTGTGAGAAAGCCAAAGCTCCCTTTGAAGGGATGGGCTGCATGGTGGTTATGTCACTTGCAGTCCTCAAGGGCTGGTGGATGTTATGGGAAAGACTTGAGTGGCAGGTGAGAGAAAGCATCTGTGACCTGTCTGGACAGTGTTGGAACACAGTGTTGGAACACAAGCAGTTATGAGTTGTGCTTGCACTGAAACTTGGATTATATAAACCGTTAGGAAGTCATCTTTCCATCTGGAGTGACTGTTTACATTCCAGTGATGCATTACATGCTGGAAATACATTTTCAGGAGTTTCAGTAAAACTGTTGGAATTACAGGTTATCTAGGATATGTGATAAGGTAGGGTATAGGTGTTGAAGAGCATTTCTTTCTACAAATCACAGACAAAACAGAAGTAATTAGTCAGTCTGTAGTTCTGTGTAATTGCAGGTGATACTTACGGTAATGCTGAAAAAACATCTCTTGTGGGGCGAGAGTTAGTCTCTGCATCTCAGTGAAGTCCAGCTGCAAAGGTGATGAAGGGCCTGGAGCATCTCTCCTGTGAGGAAAGGCTGAGAAACACGGGTCTGTTCAGCCTGGGGAAAAGAAGACTGAGAGGGAATCTGGCCAATGTTTATCAATCTCTGAAGGGAGGTGGGAGGCAAACGGATGAGGCCAGGCTCTTCTTGGTGCGCAGCAACGGGATGAGGAGCCATGGCCTAAAATTTGGACATAGGAGGTTCTGTCCTGACATGCAGAAGAGCTTCCTTGTGGGGAGGGTGACGGAGCGCTGGCACAGGCTGCCCAGGGAGGTGGGGCAGTCTCCTCCTGTGGGGATATTCCAGAGCCATCTGGGCGCTGAGCTGTGCGACCTGTTGCAGGGGCCTGCTTTAGCAGGGGGTTGCACTCAATGATCTCTTCAGGTCCTTCCAACCCCTCTGATTCTGTGATCCTGTAATTTTAGAAGCTGTCTGGATAATTGTTACAGTGGTACCCTACCATTCTGAGACTGACTGACAATTAACTTATTTGGCTTTTCTTTTCTGGTTTAATATTAATTTAGGACCTAAGTGAATTCAAGGAAGTAACGTCATGTGTCTTTCCCCGGTAAGATTTTAATTCAAACTTGCAACTTCTTTAGTACTGTTTTTATCAAACGGATGCTATTTTTGTAGTGCTGTGACAAGAAGTAGAATTGTGAACAAGTTAGATAAATAGTTTTAAAAATATTATGTGACATGTCTTGTTCACAAGAGCTGTGCTATTCTTCTTGACAAAAAATGATACTTTTGCCCTTTGCTTTTTGTCACAATTATTGGTGTTTTGACAGAACATCAAATGAGTCTGCACTACATTTGGAACAAGATCTGTTTGCTACTGACAATGTCTTTTGCTACTGTTTAGTCAGTGGACAAAGCCAATGCGTTTTGACTACTCTGAGATCTGAGAATAATGCTTCAGTAGGGTGAGACTGCTGCTTCCCAGCTAATTCACCCAAGCATTTCTAAGGGTTTGGTGAAATGGACGTTCTTCTGTTCTAACTTACTTAACTCTTACTTTGTTTCTAGGCTATTGGATACAAAACTGATGGCAAGTACGCAGCCTTTTAAGGTAAATTGATGTAGTGTTTTGGAATGGTTTGAAGTTACAACAGTGTATCAAAACATTTTTTTTAGGTAAATGTCTAACAACATGTTCTATCATGATCTTTAAAAAAAAAAAAAAAAAAAAAAAGTTTTTTCTTGTCACCTTATCTGAACTCCTGAAATTCTTAGGATACAAACTAACATTTTATCAAGTGATGTTTGTTTGTTGCAGTTTCAATGTAACATAGAGCTTTGAGTTACAAAGTGTACAGTATGCAGACTTCGGTAGTTGCCCTTAATATGTTCAACCTTTTTGACTGGTATTTCAGATATTTTCCCTTGCTCAGCGTGCTGCCTTTCCCACATCCCATATGTGGAAACAGATTCAAATAGAATATAATTTTGGCATAATACGTCTTCAAGAATTCTGGAGAGTATTGATAAATTCTTGTGACTCATAGGTGCTGTGTTGTGGGCAAGGCAAGTTAGCTTTTTAAAACTTGTGTGGATGGACTTCTCTGATGTAATGGTTTTGGAATAAGGTCCTGTGCAAGTCCTTGCAGGACACAAGGTGGCAGCAGTAAGGATTCATTTTATTCTGTTTGATTTCGGTTTCCGGAGGAAATGTGCGTGACCATGGCAGTTAACACTGACTTTTCTTGCAGGACATCATTAGTAATACATCCCTTGCAGAACTGGAAAAGCGTTTAAAAGAGGTTCCGTTCAGCCCTCCTAAAGTTGGTAAGGATGTATCAAAATGGTGGACTTTTTTTAATTCTTGGCCCGAGATGTAAATTTCCATACTAATATTTTGTATTTTGCTGAAAGGGGCTTTAAAATCAGGCAATATTACACAGTGCAGCTGTATTTAGTTGGTAGGAATCCTTGCACTTTATTTCAGATAAGAGAAGAATGGAGGTGTTTCAGTGAACAGCAGTTTTGTCATTTTCTAATGATGGCATTTGTTTTTTAGCTTGATTTTTGGAGAGTAATTTGAAACTGTTTAAAACTCTCTTATTTGCTTATAATTGTCTGTCAGATCAAAGCCAGTATACTGTGAGGGGCACTTGAGCAAACAGAACTAAGAAATTCTGCAAGTAGTGATTAGTTATACATGTTGTACAAATTAGTTGAGTTCCTCTGGAGCTTTCTTTGCTTTGAAGTGAAAGAAAGAATATTTAATAGAAGGGTAAGCTTGTCTCAAGATTGAGCGGGTGGCTCAGAAGGTAAGACTATGGTAGAAGGGAAATGTATCTATTTAAGAGTAACTTAAGCACTGAGTGACTGCTCTTTTAGCTGCAAGGCAGTCAGGAGAAAGAGTGGTGTATGGGGAAATCCTGTTGTTTTTGCATTAATGTTTTGTCAGAGCTAAGTAGGTATGTGAAAGACGAGATTAATAGTTTCCCAATAGGGTTGGGTTTCTATCCCAGGAACCTGTTCTTCTTTAAAAGATGTACCTGGTTAAAAACTTCTGAAAATCATAAAAGCTTACTAGAAATGATACTCTGTGACAAAATAAGTGTGTGTGTGTGTGTGTGTGAACATGCAGGTAACTGGAGTGATGTATGCTGACAAACTATGTTTTCTCTTTAGAAAGTGCAGAAGGATTTCCAAGTTATGACACAGCTTCTGAACAACTTCATGAAGCGGGATACGATGCTTACATTACTGGACTGTGCTTCATCTCCATGGCTAACTTTTTAGGTATCTATGTAGTCTTTTTCAGACCTTAGTGCTATCTGTAGCTTCTTATTATGTACTGAATTTCTGCTTTCTTTGTTAGGTTCGTTTCTTAGTCCTCCAAAAAATCATGTGTCTGCTAGATCAAAACTCATCGAACCTTTTTTTAACAAGTAAGTAATGCCATACTTCAAAGAATGTGAACCCAAACCCTTCTAAAACCTTGAAATGTATCACTAGCCTCGGAATCAATGGCTAACAGCATTTTTCTTAGCAGAAATTGAAGTGCTAGACTTTCTTCTTCACACTAATAATGCTGCAATGAAGCCAAAATTTGTACAGTGAATACCTTTTATTTGGAAGACAATAATTTACTTTCTGCTAGCCTGTAAAGGGACACTTAGGAGAGTTAAACGTAGACGGTTAGAGTTAAACCATCAAAACCTGGACTTCTCGAATGGCTTTGTCAATGTCAGTGTTGGGAATATGGCTGTAATTTTATCATTATTTGTAGGGCAAGATTTGGGAGTAGCACGGTTGAAGAAAAACCGGTCGGGCGTTCTTTGTGGTGTGGTACACTAAGACTGCTGATAAAATTAAAATTGAGCATGCTTAAATAATGTGGAAAAATTAAAATCTAAATAACAAAAAGCTGTTGTATTAACTTGTTGGGTAATGGATCGTTTTAAAGAATAAGAACCACATATGATTAGTAGGCTGTATGGGATGAAGATATGATTGGTATTTTTCTGTTTTACTTCAGGCTATTTCTTATGAGAGTAATGGACATACCATATCTGAATTTGCAAGGACCAGACTGTAAGTAGCTTTACTTCTTGTGTTCTTACTACCATTCTGACAAATTTCCTGGAGGAGGAGGTGTAAAGATTAGTTATCATACATTTACACGCAGGACTCTAGCTGTGTTTGGGTTATTAGCCGTTTATCAAAGGATAAAAACTTCACCCTTTTATTTGAAATTATATGGGGAATTGACTAGGACAGGTTAGACTCTTTAAAATGAATGTAAGAGGGTTGAAGATAGTAGCTTATATTTGTGTGTGAAGTCTAAGCATGGTGACCTGTTAGAGGTGGTGTCCTAACTCACATGCCTTCCTCTCCCCCCACTTGGCAGTAAGTACAGGATGCAAAGTACTGAATAGCAAATGGTCCCAAAAGTCTCCTGGCTTGCTGTCTTCACAATTGCCATGTAGTAGCATGTTTTCCTTAACTTCAGCCAAAATATCAGATTTATTTTTTTTGCCACATTAGGAAGTGATTTGAGAAATTGAAAAACATTATCTGAAATATTACTTAAACGTTTAAAGTTTTTCCAGGTTACAGACAGGGGGCTATAATAACTTGCTAATATAAGAGCATGTTTTACTGATACAGCCTTATTCTTCTGGAATGTTATATCATGAAGGAGAAAGCTTTGGATGAGTGTTACCACTGGTGCCTCTAATTAAGAAAGCATGAAGTCCTGCAGGTCAGCCTAGTTTTTGACCTAGGTGAGGGTTTAACTTTGTAGTGTCTTATATATGACTTATGTGATGCATCTTGGAGGTACAAGGATGTCTTCAGTGGCTCTTCCAGATGAGCATTGTTTCTCTGTGAAGACACTTTCCACACGTGTGTTAGAAACCTCAGACTGAAAGATGACCCTTTTATGATGTGCTAGTTCAATGGTAACAGAATGTAGTTCTAGAAAGATGGAGAGGTAAATATATACTGTAGTGGCATGCATGTAATTTTCAAATGCAGGAGGTGATCAGATCACTGAGCAGTGGCTCTGCAGATCTAGTGGAATGGTTATTTAATTATATTTCCCCAGTTTGATACTGAGTGGAAGGATAGCATAGGCAATACTCTGGATCATTGAGAGAAGGCCAAAGCTACTAAACTGTGAAGATGCTGCTTCTGCTTGCTGGCCAAATTACAGGATCATTTGGATGCTTTGCCAAGAAGAGTTGCCAAAAAAGACTCTGAAAATCTCTCTTTTATCTGCAAGTGTCCTCTGCAGAGCAGACTGATGCAGGCATTTCAGCAGAATCTGAACCAAGGATACCTTCTAAGCTTCAAAAAAATGTACACATAGTGTGGCTCTTTGAGTAGAAATAGAAGTTCATAAAGCAGCCAGAGATTCAAACACTGCTGTTGGCTGACAGCGTTGTCTGGACATTTTTTTTTTGCTTGCAGGTAGCCTTTATGCAAAGAAGTAAAATCATGCAAAGCATGCAAAGAATAAAGCTACACTATGGAGGAAGTTATGCTTAGAGTCTGTGCTTAAAAAAAAAAAAAGTGCAGCTAACTAGCTGACTGCCCAGAGTGTTGCAGTGTTTGTCACCTTGTTTATTCTGCTCAATTGTAGCTGGTTTGAGCCATTTTTCTAGAAATGATGGGCTTTGGTTGCACAAACAGTCTGATTATGTGAAAGTGACTTTCGTGGTCTTCAGCGTCGATTTCTTTTGTGCAGATGATCCTCACTGGGTGAGGTCAAGATATCCAGATATCTTTCAGTGTATATAAAACATCTTTGGTGCCTTTTTTTTGTATGTTGGCCTTTGTATGTATTTTTTTCTGGTGACAACTTTATTAATAGGAAGCCTGTCAGTGTGTGTTCTGTCTTGTACCTGGAATGAAAACTGCTTTGAACATTGTTTCAGGGCTAAGGTTTTTTTTACTGACAGAAAAATTGTATCATTGAATTATTGCTAAGAACATACTAAAACCGGAGCCAGAGCATGAAGAGCCTGCTGCTTTTTTGCTTTATTTTTCTATACTTAGCCCCAAACAGATTGATTTTGTGGGCAGTTCCTGCTGCATGTAATGCTGCTTCAGTTTCTTACACAAAATCATACTAGATCATCCGTATATCTACTTCATGCGTAAGTGCGGACAAGTTTTCCCTGATGCCTGGTGTTGTTCCATAGGTCTCGGCCTGTTTTCTTTATAATAATAAAAAGTAAAAGTTATATGACCATGTAAGGTAACTTTTTCTTTTTTAAGGTTGTGCTAAAGATACCAGTGGTAACTTTTATTCTAATAAATAACTTCTTATTTTGCAGTGCAGCCAAAACGAGATCATGTTCTTCACGTCACTTTTCCCAAAGAGTGGAAGACTAGTGACCTTTACCAGCTTTTTAGTGCCTTTGGTGAGTAATATAATCTAGTCTTCCTTATGTCTTTTTTTATTTTTTAATTTTTTCCTCTGACAATGGAAAATACGTCTGGTTTTCTTTGTTATTTTTGACCTATGAATTTGGGCTTAGTATGGGTAAATCATACATAAATCATAATCAGTAATTTTTGAAAGATACCTTTTGGAATTTCTTTGTAGTGATGCGTCTAAAATGTCTGCCTCACTGAACTGCTCTTTAGAAATCTTTGTTACCTGGTACTTGTTAAATATTGTGGAACTGTCATCTTTATATTCATATCCTCTCCTGGTAAAGAGTTGAGACTGAAGGTGACCAAAGGGAAAGGCTCTTGGTATGACAGGCAGATCAAGCCCTCAGGAGCGAAGTCAGTGACTTAAGTCATAGTTTGTAGTGTGGCAGAGGGATTCAGGGCAAACCTGAATCTTCCCTTGATTGAAGGAGTTACAGTGTGAACCCTAAGGATGTCTAATCACCAGTAACAGGGTGAAAGTCCCTCAGTATACTCAATATTGTCACTTCAGCGCTTGCTCTGATTCTCTATAGTAATAACTGTTGTCATATAACTATAATAACATTTCAGTAATAATATCTGTCTCTTCACCTAGAATGTGACTCAGTAGCCTGTTCAGGATCTCTGTTCCTTTTGACTTGATCTGCATTGCAGTGTGATGCTACTATAATGCAGGATAGAACTTTATATTCAAATTTGATAAGTCTAGAATGTAAGTTGCTGAGATTTTTCTTCAGTTAGACTCTCAGGGGTAAGAACCCCATGTAAGAGCAGCTTGGGTATTGTTTCTGCAGGCTTTTAAACACTCAGCCATATAACTTCACGCGTTTGAACAACTCCTTATCAGTGTTGGTGTGAAACGGAAGCAGGGATCACTACCACCAGAGGTCATGCTTACACATCTGAAGTACTATTCAATTTGGAATTGGAATTTATCTGTTTTTTTACAGATTCTAGAGCTGTGTGCTTTCGGATTTAAATTTACAAACTTGTGGTATTTTGGATAATGCTTAATCCATGTCAGAACAGGCTGCAGAGGATGCCTTCCAGAATTATAGGATCCCATGCTTTTTCAGCTGTAGCTGGATAGAGAGAGGGGCAATGTGAGATGCAGTGATTTGCCAAAAGCCCCAAAAATGTGGCAGCAACAGATGTGAATTATTTCCATTTATAATGCTAATTGAATTGAAGTGTTTTTAAAGTAAACTTTCACCTGGACTCTAAATAAATTGTCAAGTTAAATAATAACGTTGATCTGTCCTTAGAGAAAAATCATTTTGACTTGGTTTTAGCCTAGTACTTGAATTAGAGTTGTAATCTCCTGTGAAGTTTCTAATGAAAGCAGTGAGACAGCCAAAGTGACTGCGATGTCAAACTTGCAGCTGAAGTACTGCATGCAGACCAAGTGGAAACCTGTTGTTGCAAGATGTTTTTACAGTCTCATGAGTGAATGTAATTTCACTGAGCAAGTGCTCGCAGTACTGTGCACTCTAAAAACATTTGTTTCTTTAAACACTGATGTGAAGGTATTAAAAATAGTATCTGTTGCAGTTCATTCTTTTGTGCATATCTTTCACAGCCACTTAAATTAATGGGTTTTAATTAATTAATGGGTTTTAATTAAAACATGTACTACCACAGTATTGTAAAAACCTGCTACGTGAATTTTTTCCAAATGAGTGGAGTTAAACCTCTGCATCCTGGTTTGTGAGAACACGAGAGACTTCTCTGAGAGGAAAGTGAACAGTGGTGTATTCATGGAACCTTGCTGATCTGCAGATGCATAAATGACTTTAAAAAAAATAAAAGTAATTGATCCTTCATGTGCTTAAACCTTGTTCTGATAGTCTGAGCTACTACATACGTAGCTTTAAGTGACTTTTAAATCCAACTTTGAGACTCAATTGCAGGTTGACACGCTATGACTTTTGTTCCTGGCTCCCTCTGCTGAAAAATCCTCACTTAACTTTTTTTTTCTTACTTTTTTTTAAGAGAAGTGGAGCTTAAAAAATGACCCTGTCACATGTGAACAATCCAGTTTAAGGAAAAACTTCTTGCTAAATATTCTTCTGTAGCTTAGGTTCACATAGGCATCAGAGCTTCATGTACTGCACCTTTTAAAATTGTAATTATTTTATTCTGATCCTGTATTTCTGTGTACATTTCTGGTCTTTCCTCCCCCTTTTCACGGCAATGTTTCCTTCAGCTGTTTTTGCTTTCTTTGCACTCTCTTCCTGCCAGAGAGGTGGAAGCTCTGTTAACCCTTTTCAATTATTCACCAGGAAAATGTTGTTTGCATTCAATATATGCTTCGACTCTTATTCACAGAAAAGATTCAGCTATTTCTTTTGTCTGATGTTGGTGTATAGAAACTTTGCAATCTTAAGGTGGTGTCACTGTGATCATTTTTCTTCTCTGTAATACAGTAGAATGTACTTACAATCTCTTTTTCTTTGGCTAAATGAAGGTAGCAAGTGATTAGGAAATGTAAGAAACAGAGCCAAAGTAAAACAGTTTTCCTGCCTTTTAGCAACCTACAACTTCAGGGACTCATGAATTAGAGGTCACATGTACATCTTTCAGTTTAAGTGCCTTTCATGGGTCAGGTGAAAGTCACATGAAATTGAAGTGCATTTTAAGTCAGTTTGCATCATTTTTTAAAATCCTGTAAAGTCTGAAGGTTAAATGGTGATATGACTGTAGATGTAATGTCATATCCTGGTCTGCCTGAAAAAGGTCACACCAGTTTTCAGTGTCTGACATGTATGGACAGTGCTCTTCTAAGGACTGGAGATGTAAAAGGATTTCAGACTGCAGAGTAAGTCCTTGTGTCTGAGGTGGGAATCTTTGCCTACATGTTTTTTCCTTTGTAAGCAGTTTTTGCGCCTGTGTTACATTTTCAGCTATTCCCATAGAAAATGGAATGTATGTTTGATGAATGGAGGAACTCGATTCCAGTCACTTCCATTTTGACAACTTCCAAATGAGGTGCACAGTTTTTGTGTATTTGACCTCCTCTTATTTCTGAAAATGAGGTTTTCATTGTGCATCCAGGAAATAGTATGAAAGTGTGACACAAACCAGATTTGGAGGACTTAGTGTTGCAATACTTAAAGTTCTCTGCTTGTGTGAGCCACCTTTTCCCCCCTACACTACCAGAATTTTTTTTATCTTGTAGCTGTTTTGGAAAAGGAACAGTGAGTGGTAATTTGGGCCAATCCTTTCTTTGTCTTCAAAAAATGCTGCAGTTCTGAAGAATGGACTGGATTTGAAACTCCAAGAGATGATCTTTATTTTGGTACAAAATTGAAATTACATACCAAAATTACTTTGATTTTTGTTGTGAAAATATATAGGGCACATGGAGTGAGGGCTGAAAAGCTGCTGATTATAACTTGTTAAAAGATTGGAAGGAGAAAAAAATACAGAAAGGCAGAAGAATCCTGTAGGAGTCTGAAAGGCATTAGTCAAATCTCATAGTTTTTTTTCCTCCTTACTCAAGTGAGTCTGAGGGTATACAGGATGAGCATGCAGTGGTCACTCTTTCTGAAGTGGTTCTGGGCTCAGGTATGCGTGATGATGCAATATTCACCTTTACCGTGGAGTCTTGTTGCCAAAAAAATAAAATAAAAAAATAATTAAAAAAAATTCTCAGCTGAAGTTACACTTAATTGAGCATCTTCTTATCTGTCATCTGGCACAGCAGATGAAATATGTGACTGAGCCTAAGATAAAAACAATCGTTTCTTTTGCCTTTTCTAGGTAACATTCAGGTTTCATGGATTGATGATACGTCGGCGTTTGTATCATTGAGCCAGCCAGAACAAGTACAAATAGGTGAGTGTTTCTGAAATTACTTCAGAATTAAGATGAGACTTCAACTGCTTTAAAATTCTCTAAGCCAGCAGCATCTGCAGTTCTAGTGACAAAACCACTGTGTTGCACAGAGAAGTGACCAATGGCTCTGAATTTATTGGAAGTAAACCTTCCAGTTATGCAGAAAAGCAGTTTTTGCTTTTGAGATTTTCTTCATTCATTGTTGCTGGGTCCACCAGACCCCAGTAGTTTCCATGGTCAAGGAACTACCCATAACTTATAGCTTGAGAACACTGACCTGAAACAGCCTCTTATACATGATTATTCTGGTATTGTCATCCCTTTTTATTCAATGCTCACATGAAAGCATCCAGCGGAGAGCCATGAAGGTGATGAAGGGCCTGGAGCATCTCTCCTGTGAGGAAAGGCTGAGAAACACGGGTCTGTTCAGCCTGGGGAAAAGAAGACTGAGAGGGGATCTGGCCAATGTTTATCAATCTCTGAAGGGAGGTGGGAGGCAAACGGATGAGGCCAGGCTCTTCTCGGTGTGCAGCAACGGGACGAGGAGCCATGGCCTAAAATTTGGACATAGGAGGTTCTGTCCTGACATGCAGAAGAGCTTCCTTGTGGGGAAGGTGACGGAGCGCTGGCACAGGCTGCCCAGGGAGGTGGGGCAGTCTCCTCCTGTGGGGATATTCCAGAGCCATCTGGGCGCTGAGCTGTGCGACCTGTTGCAGGGGCCTGCTTTAGCAGGGGGTTGCACTCAATGATCTCTTCAGGTCCTTCCAACCCCTCTGATTCTGTGATTCTTTTCCTACTCTAACGGCGAGCTCTCACTGCTTTCCTGTGTCTGATTCTGTGTCCAGAAAAAAGTTGTTGCAGGCTCAGTGGGGTTAACCAGCTCAGCAACTGCTCAGAAATCATCAGAAGCACCATAAAGGAGGGCGTGAGAGCATGTGACTTGCTAAGGAGTAAGGAATGGGATTCTCCCATTTGGTAACAAGCTGTTAGATGAAATCTAATGGCACTGCTTTCTGTTTCTTTCCAAGAAGTCTCTCATACCTGAGCAATGTCTACTGGTACTCATAGACCTTTTACCTCTTTTACTAGAAAGGAAGTGTTCTGTGCATTTTACTCTTTTTGTATGTTAACAAATTTGAGCACGCTAGTTCTACCAGCCGTTCTGTGCTCGTCAGCGCTGGGAATGAGGTGTGGTGAACTTTGTACAGCTGGGCAATCTTGTCTGTAACAAGAAGTGGAATTGCTGGTTGATACGTTCCAGTCTTGGTCTCAAAGCAGAGCTGGTGGCATAATTCACAGCACAGCTGTTTCACAGCTTTCAGCATTAGTGATGCAGATTTAGGAGGACAGATTTGCTGTCAGTTATCTGCAACAATATTCTCATCACTGCCTTTTCATTTGTTTGGGATTATTTGAAATATGTGTCATAGATTTTGTTTTAGTTACTGAGGAATTTAAACAGGGTGCAAAGGTTAAATAGTTTGAATTCTTTCAGTATTTAAACTGCAACTTAAGAAAGTTAAAATCCTTTATAACAATCTGCTTACAAGATTGTGGTGTGGACAGTCTCAGTGGACTATACCATCATTTCTGTGGTCATTGTTGAGGGATTTTTTTTTCTCCTGGTAACTGGAATGCTGAATCACTTAGGCAGCACGTGCAGCAGGGCAGATGAGGTGATGATGCTGGCTTGATGCTTTGCTGGCCTGCACATTTGCATGGAGATACTTGAATCCAACTATCCTGCATTAAAATGGCATTTCACCTCAATTTTCTACTTATAAAGAAAGTTATGATGTAAGCTTAGTGCAAGATCCACCCAGTGGTACCTACAGGAATGTGAGACAAGTTCAGGGTTGTTTTTTTTCTGAATTAAAAAAAAAAGAATTGTTACAATGCAGCAAAGAAAGGAACATAGAAGGTGTTTTTTGCAAGTATATCTGACTTGTAAAGGTGCTGTGTTACATGTAAATAAGTGCATTTGAGTAAAACTTCCTTAAAATATTAGAGTAGTACTATGGGGCTTCAGGCTTCTGTCAGCACTTTTAAGAATAATGCTAGCTACTGTGAAACTAAGAGTCTCACCTTTATGCTGTTCTTAGTTGTGCTGAATGGCAATAAAACAGCATGAGGCTATCAGAAAAAGGGAAGAAAAGGAAAAAGGTGCATCAGTCTTTCGTGGATAGATTACCTGAGGCGGGGAAATAGACCTTCACTGTCCATGAGTGCTTCTGTGTTGGTGGCTTGTGGAATTAGGTACTGAGTTAAATAACAAAATGTTTCTATTTTGTAATGGAAAAATGGTGTCTGACGCGATGATTTGTCCTTGCATGTTTTGTACTTGAGTCTTAAAATTTCTCTAACAAAATATTGACACTTGGTATGTTTCAATGCAATAGCTTCCAGCCTGTTTAAAGTCTGGGCAGCTGAGGAGGAGCGATCCATACATGGAAGTCTGATGGATTCCCTTGGGGAGGAAACATCAGGCAGGTTGTTGAAGAGTCAGAAACTTCTTGAAGCGCATGTACTGAGTGCTGCATCTGCTACTTGGAGACTTGAGACTTAAGTCTCCAAGCTAGTTGTATTGAGGCTTCTTTCCTTATCACTGAATAAAAGACTGAGTAAATCATTTTGATGATCTCTGAGAGTGAATGGGGTTTATATTTCTGGAATTGTGTCGACTGAGTAAATTCTTAACTTCTTCAAGGCATTTGAATGTTTCTAGTTGATTCTGGGATCCAAAGTTGCACTACGTTATAAGTTTTTGAACAAATAGGCTCTTCTATGTGCTAAAGTGTTTTCTATCGGTTATTTTAAAATAAATAATAGTCTCCTGACCTCAGAGCAAACCCAGACTCTCCTTTCATGATGCCTCAGTGCAGGATTATCCTGGAGGATCTTCCTTGAGACCTCAGTACCTTGCTCTAGCTAACTCTTGACTGTTTTATTTTTATAACAGTTTGCAGTGAGGGTTTTTTCCTCTTTGGCCTTCCTTGAGGACAAGGATCTTGAGGAGCGCGCTAATGAAGTGTCACTTCATTGGGGAAGGCGGTGCAAGCCTGCAGTACTTACCTTGGCATGGGCAGGAGGATTTGCAGCAGCACAGCTGCGATGGAAAATAGAAAGCAGGCAATCTGTGCCTGAATTAGTCATTATTTTCTACTTCCTTCAGCCACAATTGGAATATATTTACTTGACATTATGAGAAGTAGGCTTACGTGCGATAATTCTGCTGAAAGTGAATAAAACTATTTCAGGATAAAGTTTTATTTTAATGCAAGCTTTAGCAAGTGGTTTGCTAAATACATCCAGCTCAACAAAGTATCCATCTTGCTAGTGTGTGTTGCTATCAAGTGTAGAGAGCTTTTTTTGTAAATAGAGTTGAGAAAATGTCTGTCTACCAAGACTTTTCGGCTGCAACCCATGCAGTGAAATGCAGCCATGTGGTGTTGCTTACCAACATTACCAACAGGCTTCTCAAAGGAAAATTTATCTTCACTTTACAGTTTAAAAATAAGTAAATAAAAATTCTGTTCCCTTTAGTTTGATATATTTTGTTAGAATTCACAAGACATTCAAGCAGTGCTTTTCTTCAATTGGCACTGGAGAGTTAAGGTAGTTCTATTTGGTTTGGTAGCATTGACAGAGCATCAGAGAAAATGTTTTTAAAACTTACAGAGAGCTGCTTTTCAATTCAAGACCATGCAGGATTTAACTGTCTGTGTTGTTCCTTAGAATTGCCCACGTCTTCATTTCAGTTGTGCTTTGCGTGGAGAAATATTTTTAGCATATACCTTTTATGTGCTCAATTGATGGTCACAGTATGGTTTAGCTCTTTAGAACCACTCATACGTATATACGTACATATAAAGTGAATATGTTTGTGGAATGCAATATGCTGCTAAAAATAAATGGTCTTGTTTCAAGAAAGAAGAGTTGTCTGACCAAAAATATTTATTCTCATACAGGTTTTAAAAAATGACCTTTAAGATGCTCAATAAGGATTATCTTTTTCTTAAATGCAAGCAGGGTTTGTTAGGAAATTAAATGGAAGAGCCGTAACTCTGGCTCCTAGTGTATAGCAAAACAAATAATGTGAAATTGTTATTGTGTTTTAACAAATCACTGTTTATCAGATGATCCATGGTAACTACGTGCTTGATTTTAGCAAGTAAAAACATGCTTGAGTTTAACTAAACAAATGTTACCCTTAGGAATGTTGGCTGGTATGCAGTAACTCCAGTGAGCATTAGTAATTCATTCACGATGCCTGCTCCCTCACTTCATGGGCAGTACATATTCTCAGTATATATATATATATATTCTTATGAAGAGATCCTCTGACTTCACAGTCCAGACAAATGTAAGGGGTGTGAAAGGAGGTATGTTTAATGTGCCTTTAAGTAGTGCAACAGTCTCATCAGGCCGTGAGTCATAGTTGCAGATATCTATTCTTGGGAGTAGATATACAAGATACTGATGCCAAGTTTTACATAAGTTTGAAAGACTTTGCAGCAGCAGCACCTACGTGCCGTGACTTGTACTATAGGTAATTGCTTTCATAGTAGCATAGTCAATATGCAGAGTAGAGACCTACTCTGAAAGAGGAAAAAAACCAACCTGCATTTCTGAGTGGTGATGTGGGAGCATGCTACCTCTTGTGTGTGCATTAGAGGTAGTGCAGAATACCCTGCATTTGAGATGACAGCACTTCATAAAGAATGAGAAAGTGATACACACATCTGAAATTTCTACAGAGTGGTTGGAAGTACACAAATAAAATAAAGATTTCATCTCCACTTCATTATTACAGTATTTTAAAATGCTCTGTCTGCATACATGAAAAGGAATGTGGGTTTTTTTGTTTTATATTTAAATGGGTTTGCTGATTTATGACGGTTTATTTCAGTGACTTAAGCTAAAAACAGTAGAAGACACCAGTTGACAGCCAGTTTAATTTGCTGATTCATCTGTTCCAGCAATGGCTTTATGCCAGAGCTTGGCTTACAGATGAAAAGCAGCTCTGCAGAGATGCTGGGACTCAAAGGAACACTGGTGAATTGTTGCTGAGTGAAGGCAGTGACAGTTTTTTCTTTCTAGGTGATTCTAATTCTTCTACCTCCAACTGGCAGCACTTTTTCAGTTAAGTGGAGATGGAACATTAGAAAGATAGGAGGCAGCAGCTGGATTCTAGTTAGCTGCTTCCACCAGTATCTTGGGCAACAAAAAACGCAGCTCAAATAAGCTTATGTTTCACAGCAATCAAACAGAGTTTTGGCAGAGCCTTTGCAAATGTCGTCTTTTCCTGGCAGACATGCAAAATAAACCTGCTGGGTTAAGTAATGAGACTAAAAGGGAAAAAATCCAGGAAATCTCTTCTTGCCAACAAGCAATCTGGAAGAGGACTATGACTGAAGAACTGATGATTTCTAATTTAAAAGAATTAACCCTTCTTGTGTGAAGTCTCACTCAATAGTATTTTGAGTATGTAATTCAAACATGCAGTGTGGATTTAGGAGAGTACAGCTATTTGTTTGTTTTGCCACTAACAGTGGAACTAGATGGAAGACATTTGTATGAATGGAACAAATAGTCTGCTGCCTTCTACTCTTAAGACTAAGCTATCTCAGAAGGCGTGTTGTTATGTGTTTGGTTTATAACATCTCTTGTCTTTCCCATAGCTGTGAACACCAGCAGATATGCTGAAAGTTACAGGATCCAGACATACGCAGAATATGTTGAAAAAAAACATGAAGAAAAGCGAGCAAAGAGAAAATGTACAGAAGATAGTTGGAAGGAGATGGAGAGAAAACGGTTGAAAACTCAAGGTGCACCTTACGTTTCCCAGAGTCGATATTACTGTGTTAACAGGTGAGACTTTCAGCAGTGCAGACTCATTGTTTTTGTTATATTTTCACCAAAGGCATTGTACTTTTCAGATAGTTCGTATCTGGCGTTTTTCTCTGTATGAATATTTTATTAATTTGCATATAAATCATTAGTGGTACAGCACCTGTCACTAGATGATGGATAAAGGAATAGAGGGGATTTGGTGATGAGGCGAACTTGAAATATTGTGATACTGGGAGCAGGCCAACTCGCAGCGTCTGAGCTCGATGGAGCAGCAGTGTTTCTTAAAACCAAAAGAAAAAAGTTACCTGTTTCATTTTTTTCACATCTCTACATGGCTGCTGGCATTTGGGAGCTTTGAAAGCTCTCTTCTTATGCTACTGTAAAGATGATTTTCTTTTTTTTGGATGATTTTCCGTGGTGATATTGCCACAGTGAAGGGTATAAATTACCATCTTAGGCAGTCCTGATGGAGTCGTCCTTGTGTTTCAGGAACAGGAAGGTAAATGAAGATAGCCAGTCCTAGTTTTATTTCTAGTGGAGGAAGTCTCTCTCCTTATTGAATGCTGTTATGTGTATTTTGGGCATCTAGCAGCTTTTAGGCAGACAGTGAGTGTTGGTGGCTTATGGTTTGCACCATAGATAATTCTGTCTTTTAACAAATACTTTGGAAAGCAGTAAGACTGCAAGACAGGTTTGTTTTTGTCTTTCAAGTTAGTAGGGGATGATGACAAATGTGTAACGTGGAAAGCTGTTGAATAAATTTCAGTGAATTGTTTCCTTAATTTTCTTTTAGCTCAGTGAGTTGTCTGCCTGAACACTTCATGTCCTTGAAAATTTTGAAGCTGTTTTTCTTGTATTGAAAGATTCCCCTAGAAGCACCCTTGCTATGTTATTTTTGGATGATCAACATTTTGATAACCCTGGAAAGCAGTCTTCAATTTGTTTGTAGACTGAACTTCTTTTGTGATTGATGTTCTACAAATTTTAGTTTTCACTAATCCAGAAATAAAGTGACTTGATTCTCTTCCAAATTCCCTTCCATGCAGATCTTTTGGCATGTTTCTTCTTAGTTTTGTCTCCTTTTTTACTCGATAGATGGTGTTCTCTTGTCAACTTGTCTCTTGCAAATATTTCCTCTTTCCAGTGTGATCTGGCAGTTGTACCAGCTTAGGTATAACATGTAACTTCAAACCTTGTGGTCTTTCAGTTCACTCAAGGTAACTGTAGATGCATTTTTCTTTCCAGAGATACATAAACACAAATATTTTAAAGATACATGTAAACATATTTATACAGTGTTATAAATGATTATATGTGTGTATATGTGCATATTTTTCCAGATTAATCTGAACCATATATAGTTTAGTGCTCGTTCCTATGATGAAGCTAGCAGCTGATCTCTTATAATAGCTTCGTGTTACTGCACCCTTTATTTATTTATTACTTAATAAGCTTACTGTATCAGCTTCTGCCAGCGAAGGGAGCACAGCTGCAGAATGGCTGTTCTCCATGGTGGCAACATTCATTCAGTAGTGAAGTTGTTGGTTGTTTCTTACAAGAAAAGCCTCTGCCTTACATTGGCAAACTTAGAAGAACAGTATTGAAGGTTCATTAATTCTTCCTTAACTCCAGATTTCCCTTTTACCATCTTCTTCCCATGGCATTCATCCTAGCTGGCGTTTAGATAGGTCAGCAGAAAGGAGAGGTTGGGGAGGGAGGGCTGCTGGACTCTGCCTGTGCTGAAGACATGCACACCCACACCTGCTATATTCAGTGACCAACAGAAAAACTGCATTGTGCTAAGGAGATTTGCCAACTGGTGATATGTGATAGGCTTTCCTTACTTTTTTTCCCTAAACTTGGCTAGTAATTTTATTTTAAAACTAAGAATAAAACTTTATTTTGCTGCCCAAAAATGGTTTGGACTCTGCTCAAATATCTTTTTTTTTTTCTTTTGTAATCATATTGTTGCTGTTAAACGTGTGTTCTGAAGGCTGGTCTAAGGCTGTCTCTAGATGCTTTAGGTATCCAGAAAGATGAGGATTCTGAATTGGAAAATTACTGATAGCTTGTAGTTTGTTTTTTTTCCACTTGGTTCAGTTGTTTCTCAGCAGAGTAAGGAAATTGAGACAGACGGGTGGACGTGCTCCAAAATAGCTGGTAAAATTAGAAAACTGAACTTTGCTCGGACTAGTGCTCTGACTCGTATACACAGCCATAGTCATTTGCTACTATTGCTAAGTGAATAAATAACATTGCTGTACTTCTCGAGCCTTATTTTAGGTCAAAGAAGAATAGGACATACGGGGAAAAAAAAACATCAACCAAATCCACAATCTGTAGTCATGTGGAGTCCATGCAATGAATGAGTAAACGTAGAAAAAATCCTAATAATTTAGGAGAAAGCAGGAAGTCAACAGTACTTGATTGCCTATATTTTGATCCTCGTGCTGTCTGTTTTCTGGTCTGCTTTCTTTTTTTTTTTAGTTTTGTTTTCTATTTTTGTCTGCAGGAAAAATGTGAAGCCTGAAATTAGTTTTTGTTTTGAACTTATTCCTTACAGTAAGTTTCTTTCTAAGAGCCCTTAGAGTATCTCTAAGTCCTGGAATTGTAATTTATGGGTCATGATTTTTCTTCCCTATGTATTTTTCAGAATACCTTTCCCAAAGGTAGAGTTCTTAAACTTTTCAATTTTTTTTTTAATATAATAGCAAGTAGGTTGCTCCAGAAGTAATGCCTCCTTTTATGTCCATGGAAGCGACAGCAGACACAAAGCGCACACTCTTGCTATTTGATAGAGAAAATGCTCACCTGATTTTTTCAATGTTCTGTGCCCCCCCCCAGAAAATCTGCACCAGTTGAGGTGGCTGCTGTCACTGTCACCACAGCTGAAATGCAGCACCCCTTCTTACTGCACTGACACCACTGTTCAGTCTCCATAAGTGTTCACAAGCACTGATAAGTGTCACTGGGGGCCCTTTTTTCCACATGGAGGAATTCAGCTCCACCCTTCGCTCCCCCCACACTTCCATGTCAGGCGCCATTCTGTCCCAGTGCCCCTCTGCTGCCATCTGTCACACAGCAACAACCTGTCACGGAATGTTGGTGGGCAGGTTCAGCCTCTGCTGCCATCCCACCAACAGCTGCCGCTGACATCACAAAATAGGAGGCATTACTTTTGGAGCAAGCCCTTGTAATTTTCAATTTTCTGAATTAAAAATTTTGTTTTCACGAGGGCTCTTTGCTCCTGTCCCACCCCCTTCCCTTTCCAAACAGCATTTTGGCTTTCGTCATTCTGCTGATGGTAGCTGTGTTGTGGTGACTTAAAAACAAGATTTATAAGAGGTTGTTCAAGAAGGCCTTCTGTGTGTGAATGTTTGGAGGAAGAGCCAGGTATTCATCAGAGGAAATGGTGTTTGTGTTCCTAACGTGGAAGTAAGAGCATGAAGCATAATCATGTTTCATGGTTTTTAACTGCTTTTGGACATCTCAGAAAGAGTCTGTTCTAAAACGTTCAGATGAAAAAGGGCCTTCACTTCAAAGCCAAAACTGTATAGCTAGATCTTACTTCCCTTACCTGAACCTTATTGATACCCTGTGCTTCTTTGTATTAGTGACTAAAAGAAAAAAAATACAAAGTTTTGTTTAAAACTGTGTTTAAAAGTTTTTGTTTAAAAGTTTTGTTCTGTAACTTAGAAATAAAAGAATTGAATATTGAATGAAAGAATAGTCATCTTGTTTCATTGTTAATAATTGCATTCTAGTTGAATGAAAATCTCTGTAGCATAACTTCAGTGTTTCCTGAATGAAACAGAGCTCTAAGTGCGTGTTCATGATGTTTTCTCTGTAGTAGAAATACTGTAAAACTGCGTGTAGTTTTGACAGAGGAGATGAACTTAGCCTGTGGGAGCCTTCAATATGAAGATGAGCAGCTTTAATTACACTTGAACTGAGTGATTTCAGCAGACTAGCAGCTAAGCCTGGGACACCTACATCACAAACAATAAAAACCTTCATTTGCACAACATCCTAGTTGATGACTGTTATGGACTCTTACAGCTGAGTCACATCTTCCAGATAATGTAATGTTATGGCTCAGCACTTTATACAGTTTATATTACTACTTTCTTAAGCATTTAATAGATACATAGTAACTAGTACCCATCTAGTAGTTATTCTTAACTTGTTGATAACAGTATTTTCTCTACATTTCAGTTTTACAGGTACCAGTGTAGCGGGAAAGAGAAGTATGAGTCCTATTCAGGAAGAAACTGGTTCTGACAATTTGGAAGAGGAAGGGGTTCCAGAAGATGAGACCAACTGCTATGCAGAGTCACCTCCAGATGTTAAGAAGAGAGCCAAAAGGTTCAAAAAAATCAAGAGAGAACAAGTTTCAGCAGGTAAAAGCAATGTTCTTGATCATAATTTTCTGTTCTGTTTGAAACTGCCCCAGGCCTGAACAGAACTGAAGTTTGTTGTTGAGGGCTTTTTGTTTGTTTTTTGCTTGTTTGTTTTTTATGTCTCAATTTTTCTGGACTTATGAATGTCACGCTTTAAGCACTGTTACAACTTATTTTGTTGTATGTTATTTAAACTGAAAAAAAATTGCATCAAACTAAATGAAGCAGGATGTATTTGATTTCTTATTGGCTTACTTTCTTCTATATAGTAAAATATTTTTAGCTATTTTAAACTTCTTTTTTCTTCAATGAGACTTTTCAGGTTATGCAGGAACTTCAAATACCATAAACAAAAGTAAAAGAATTCTGGAAGCAGGATTCTATAGTGGATCTCCTCATTAGTCCAGCAAGCCATCAGCAGTTGTAAGACTCCCCTCATGTCGACCTTTTCACTTAAGCTTGATTAGAAGGAGTCTCAGAATGAATGAATGCATGCAGCTTGGTCTGCAAGATGTGTATCATTAAACAAACTCTACTGTATGCAAAGGAGTCCAGTTTTAATAAATCTACCCACTGCCCTGAAGGCTAATATATGTGTCCTTGTAATTAACACTTCTAAATGTTAACACAGACTATCTTGATGACATTGCACTGGCATCCCTTATTCACTGTTATTTGGGCGATAGTTCTGTAAGTTCAGGAACCAGTGCTATTTTTCAGTCTGGTCCGAATGTTGTCTATCATTAAGACTAAGCCAAAACTTTCACAGCCAGCTTGCCTGCCCCACACCACCCCTCCTGCACACAGCTTGGTACAATGCTGATATCCTTCCTTCTCTGGAACATCATAAAGTACTGGCTGAGACAATTCCGTAGAGGAGCAAGCTGCCACATTGGTGCCCATCCACTGGGATCTTAATCTTAGGCAGGCCTTTCAGATTTTGCAGTACTTAGCTTTTATGAATCACATAGCTGTGCTTTTATTTCCTGAGGAAAAGTGAGTGTGCTTAATCTCCCTTCCTAGCATTTTGGATGAGTAGCTCACAGTCATCTTTAACGATTCTTGCAGTCCACCACATGCTTAGAGTAAGCCCATGTTTATTTGAAAGATTTACTGGTCCATGAGCAGATCATTCACGTTTCATGAACTGCTAGCTGTTGCAGCTTGTAGAAACTCATTTTCAGGAGAGTGCGATTTTGAAAAGCAGAAGAAACAGTAGGCAGTTGACCTGTAGAACTGTCAAAATGTGCAGTCTTTATTCTCTCTGAGGTATTTTATGGATCTTCTCTTTTTTCTTCTTCTTTTTTTTTTTTTTAAGAACTCAATATGCAGTGCTTGAAAATCAATAGTGTTTCTAATATAAATTATAGATCTTTTCCTATCTCCTAAAAACTGTTAGGATGTATAAATTAGAATAGGCAGTGTTCTGTTCCATATTTAACATTGTCTGTCTTGCTTTTATTTGGAGGACTTTTCACATGGGGCTGATTTAAGGATTTCTTTCTGCTGACTTCAACAGCAACATGTTTTTCTAGCCAGAATACTTGGAATTGTGTGTTTGGATGAATACAGACAGGTGACAGGTGATCATGTTTCACCTGATATTTTCACTGTTTTGTGAGTTATTGCAGCCTGTAGAACAGAAGAGAGGATGGGGGATGTCTTTTGAACAGCTTGTTGGGTTCTCTTTGTGAATACTGTAAATAATGTATCTGGAGGAGAAAAATAGGATTTTGTATGCTTTGAAAGAACCAAAATAGTCTTGACTTTACTTCTTTCCTTTCAGTATTTGTATACTGAAGTCATTAATATAGAGCTTTCTGATTCTGTCTTTTTAGGAAGCCTCACAAGTAATTCCACTGAAATTTTTGAAGTCCCTGAAACATGGTAGGAAATAACTGCCTTAACAAGTGGAATTGATGGAAAGCAGTTGTGAGAATACACCTCCTGGAAGCCATAATTTATTTAACTGAAGTGGTGTTAACAAATCAGTATGTGTCCTGAAAACCAGTTTAATTATTTTAAACTGTTTACTGAACAATCACTGTCAATTTTACTTCTGTGTATATTGACTAGTATATGATCTTGTTGTTGATTAAGTGAAATCCTTGCTGTTGTTAATTATGTTAGATTTAAGAAGCAAGACTAGATGTATTTCAGTCATCCACTTTGGCATGTTGGCTATGAAATGTACAAAAAGACCTGGCAGTCTATGATTTTGTGCTAGACTGTTTCCTGTGCTTGAGGGAAGTTACCACAAATCTCCTAATCTTTAGATATTTTTTCAGGCAACATCAGAGTGCTCAGAACTCTTGATACAGGTAGAACTGCAGTTTCACATATTGCTTTTTACCTGTTACTATCCGGAAATCATTTTTTAGTTTTCCGTTCTTTACTTCACTCCCAGTGCAGCCAGCTTCATCTGAATACCAGCTTTACAGATACCCTGTCTTTTCCAAAAATATAATTTATGTGCTCCTTAAATATGAATTTCATGGTGGGAGGTAGTTTTTTTCTTTCTTTTCACATCTGCTGCTGTTTTCACCCCTACGTCCCTATCTACTTCTTCCCTGCTTCTTCCCCATCTTGTGGGGTTTTTGTTAAAAATGTTTTTTGGTACCTGTGACAAACCTGCTAACTGTACCAGCCCTCTATTTGTTTAAAAAAGATCTGCATTGGTAGATTTCAGAAAATGTTTGATATTTAACATTTTTGTATCATGGAAATAGAAACAAAAGATGTATTTCCATAAAATGAAAATTAAAGAAATTTTCTTAGGAAGTGGTTTGCTTTTATGTACTGGCTCCTGAAATATATTTTTGTGCTCTTATTTTGCTCTTCCTAACACTATTTTTTAAAATTATTTTTAAGTCTTCATACAGTTTTCAGTCTGTATCAGGCAGACCCTCTGGGTCTATGGACTGACTACTTTCAAGATATTTGTGAAATGTAATGAAGAAAAGCCAAGTCTGTTGAAAAAAGTTTGCTATGCATTTCCCTTGGAAAAAAGAATGAGGGTTCTGCAAATCAGCAAGTTGAAAACCATTTCTATGGAGAAGTGGAATATTAAGAAAGTTACATCAGACTGTACTTACAGTGTGAACCATTGTCATTTTAACAGTGCAGCAACCTGCTTGAAGGTATGCCAAAATGTGTGGCTTTTTAAGTGATTGCAAGAACTATCTTGAATCTTGGATTTGTTTTGCAAAAGGCAAAAGGATTTAAATCTCTCAAACGTGAAATGTCTAATTTCTAATCTTGGAGTACTGCTGGAATTAGTGCACCTAAGGTTTGTTGTTATTGTTGGTTTGTTTAGTAGCAGCCGTAGCATCATATTATTGCACTGAAACGTGGGACAGAAGACAGTGTTATTAGTGATGCTACGGGAAATTATCAACAGAACTCTTCTGATCCAGAGTGTATGTAGCAGCATGGGAACTTGTCTTCATTTCATTACAATATAGAGGCTTAAATCCTTTCCAGATTATTTTTTTTATATGAAGAGTAGGGTGGGTGTATATTTCTCTAAGTTACTGTATCCACTATTTCCAGTCTTCTTCCTGCTCTGAATTTTGGAGAGCAGGATGTTGTTTATCTCCAGCTATACTTAGTACCTCTTAGGAAAATAGCGCTGTTCTGTTTTCTAGTCATTGCGTAGCCTTTGATTTTACCAGATAATACCTACTTACACTAATAAAATGAGATGGGGTTGGGACTGTGATATCGGTAGCACTAATTTTGGGTGGAGAGTTGTCAGGGGTAGATGCTGTTGTAAAGAGGAAACGACCTTTTGTGCACCTCACTATAAATGAAAGCACTAATTGTAGCAGAGGAGGAATGTGGCTTCCTAAATGTGATGCACATTTGTTTCCTGATGCAAGTTTAAAATATGTGCCTGCAGTTTGCACCTTTTTTTCCCAACACAAAGTTGTCATCACCATTCTGCGGGCGCAGCGCCTCTCGTGTGTGACAGGAGGGTCGGGCACCTGGGGCGGCTGTGTGGAGCTGCTGGGGCAGCAGTGAGGTATGGACAGGCTGTTTTGGCCTCGTAAACTCAGGCATATCTACCATGCTTGGATAGAATTACTTAGGTTTTTTTTTTTTTCCCCTCTTCATTCCTTTTTGTCCTCAGGGGAAGTGGGGAGTAAACCCCATGGATGTCGTTTAATTTTGATGCTCTTCCTTTGTTTTCTGTTTGAGGAAGCAGCAGTGGCTTTACCTGGTTCTGTGTGCTGCACAATTGCCCTAACCGGGGCCAGAACAACTTCCGGCAGGAGGAGACCTCCACTGTGCATGGCGTTGGGGGCCTCAGGGCACCCGGCCTCCATCTTCCCTCAGGGTGGGGGCGCCCTCAGCCCCGCCGGTCGGAGCAGCGCTGCGTGCAGCCAGGGAGGAGGTGAGTGCCCAGCAGCCTTAACGGCTTGTTTTTCTGCTCTTCAGTGGCGTAAAATAGCCGTTGTTACCTTGCTGATGGTTGTGCTGAAGTGAAAGGCTTTTCCTTCAGCAAACGGCAGGCGCTGCAGCGGAGCCGTGGTGCTCTGTGCTTGCGCTGAGGCGAGGACTTGCGGCTCCTCACTGCAGGCGGTGGGGATGGGCACAGTGAGAGTGGCAGCGTGTGGCTCTCGGGTGTTACCTGCAGCTGGCGTTGGTGGAAGCAGAAATTCAATTGGGAAAACGAGGGAATTTTGTGATTAAAAGAGGAGAACTTGGGAGCATAGACCTGAGTGAGAGAAGTAAGGAAAACCTCTCCATGGGGGAATAAAGTAGGAGGGCTGGAATGTATTTATTTGACTGAAGTTTAAACTTGACAGTGACCAATTATCAATAACACTTGAGCACTTCATTGTCTGAATTGAAAATAATGTTAAAATTGTACTTAAATTCATCATATGCAAAAGTATCTCAAGCATCTCTGGGATGAGGGGTGGCTTGGACCAGAAAGCACAGGTGTGACAGCGTGCGGCATGGTTGGTTCTGGTGGATGAGAGAAGCGCCTGTGAAGGGTATGGCGTAGCACTGAGTAGAAAAGAACAGAAGAGTGTCCCTGCGGCATGGATGAGAAGAGGGGCAGATGATTGGATGAGGCCTGAGGGAGAATGAGTATCCCAGGTAATGTTAACGTTGCTGGGAGAGCAGCAACCTATGCATGCACTCAGCTCTGATCTTGTTTTGGGATAAAAACAAAACGCTTCAGATGATTTAGATGGAATACTAAATTATTTATCCACCCAGTGGAGAAAGGAAGAGAGAGGTAGAAAGCTAAAGCGTAGTGATTTTTGAAAAAAATAGTGGTGTTAACCCCTTTCTTTCTTTAAGCCTTTGAGTTCTGTCTTGGTGCCAAGATGATGTCTGGTCTCCCAGATGTACCCTGTGTCTTTAAATCATAAATGTGACACAGGTAAAATGTTCTCTGCCCTTCAGCTTCAGGGCATACATGAGAGTACTGTTGGTAATCAAGAGGTCTTGGCTTCTAAGTCTGTAGACTATTGCCAGCTGAGCAGGTGTGCTCAGTAAAGAAGATTCCTTAAGATTCCCCAAAATACACTAGTAAATAAATATGCAATTGCTTGTCTATTTCTGGTGCTTTTATGGCTTTGAACTTAAACTGACTGACTTCTCCTGTGTGTTTCACGGAAGTAGTGCCTCACCATAGCTGGTTTAGGAGCTGGTGGGCTTGATGGGAATTTATAGGGTAATTAAAATGTTCTTTTTTTGCTTTAATAGCTGTATGTGAAATTTCTTTTAAAAATAAACAGCCACGCACGTGACGATCATGGGTGGATCACAGCTCAAAACGATGGAATGATTTATTCATAAATATGATGGAGAAAACATTTAATGAAATGAAAAAGTTAGACTTCCCCACTGTTAGAATCATTTCTTAAAAGCAAGCAATTTCCTGGTTTATGACTAGAATCACCCTGTGTGATCTGATTGCTATTAGAATGTAATTGAATGTGAAAATTTGGAGGTTGGGACTGTGGCTAGTGTTTCATCCTAATTTATGTTCTGCTTACAACCCATCAAACAATTGACAAGATAACTGTTTTCAAGGTGATTACTTTGAAATCAGTCTTTGAGGCTCAATTGAGAACGTGGCTGATTTCCTTTTGGGTATATGGTATAACAGCCTGAAGGACAACAATATATTGACAAAATTCATAGTTTTCTCAAGTTTACGTAGAGTTCCTGACTTGAAGGCTGAAGAGCCTCTTGTTTTCTTTTTAGTAATTGTTTTATTTAATAAAATTTTAAAAATACACAAAGATAGCAGTAGCAGTGAAAAATTGTTTAGCTGCAACAGTGTATCTGTGCACATCTAATATTTCCTAAATAAAACTAAAAATAGTTGTGCAAATAAGACTTCATATAGGGAGTGCTCAGTTATGCTCAGGAATTGTCAACATTGAAAGTGAAATGAGATCAGAAAATGAAGAATAAAGGTGTTCTCATGTTTTGTGTTAATGCTACCTGTGGCTGTGAGCACCCAGCTGGAGCACGATCATGGCTGCTGTTTTGCTGTTGTCCTTGTGGTCAGACTTAGAGCTACTCGCATTTTCAATGAGAATTAATCTTTTCACTGTAGCTTGTGAAAAAAAGCAATATTTTCCTCCCAAGCAGTCCCACTAGGTTTACAGGTTGTGTGTTTCTTTGAGACAGCTGGAATTTTCTATACGTGCTCTTAGGGCTCTGCATGTTGTGCTTGCTTTTTCCATTGAAATAATTGCTCAATGTTTCCGGATTTTGAACAGAGAGGCATCACTTCAATGCCTGAATGTCTCATTCCGGACAGTTTTCTGTGGGCCTGGTTGTATTGCAAGGCCTGTTCTAAAAACATCCACAAAACTGTTTTGTCTATCTCTAAACGTATTTGATGACTGCTTTTGAGTGGATGTCTGATAGTGGCAGGAGGAATAAGGCCAAAGCGAGGCGTGTCAGTGCTGTTGGAAAGCAAACAGTCCGTGATGGTTTTGGTCTGACGGGGGAAGCGGCAGAAACCTGTGGGCAGAGCCAGCAGGAGGCTGAGCTTCATCTGGTGCTTGAAGCAAGATAAGTGCTACCAGAGTGACTTTACACTCAGAAAACTGTCTTTTTTTTAAAAATGCTAAACTAAATTTGCCTTTTAGATATTTAGACTTGTGTATGACATAACAGCTTTCCAGTTTTGTCTATGGAGACACAAATTGCATTAAAACTTCACATTGTCTACTCTAGGAAAAACAGAAAGGTGAAAAAAAATTTATGTGGTGATGTGTAAATACAGAAAAGCTAATGAGTATAGAGATCTAACACAGCAGATGAGAAAAAACCTCTATGCTCATTAGCTTTTGCATTTTTTCCATTGCTACTCTTGCTCTGTATGCCGTGAACTAATGGACATAAGCTTACCCCATTGTTTAGAAGAGTGTTACTGACTTCTATCCACACTTGAAATGAAAAACCATTAGACACAGTTTTCAAACCTTGCAGTGCAAGGTGGCAAACTGATATGGTGCTGCCACATTCCAGTCTTTTCTTCTATGGAAAATGAATCGGCATGAATGATCCTAAGAGGAAATCCAGACTATGCCACTGATCCCTCTGGGTGAGTGGATCCATCTTAACGTGCTCTGACTGGCTGTTAGATAACTGAAATTAGTACTGGAAACTGGAATGGAAGAAATGGCTAATATAAATAAGTGAAAGCACCCATAATCATAGATACGCAGTATCTGCTTAACAATAAA